TCCTCTTGGGCATTGTTGGCCAGAAAGTGTTAAAGAAGGATAGAACTTTCTTTATGTATGCAACTACAGCAGCAAGAATACTTATCGCAAAATATTGGAAGACACAAGATTTGCCCACACTGGAAGAGTGGCAGACGCAATTGATGGACTACATGGAACTGGCTGAAATGACTGGCAGAATCCGAGATTTGGGAGAAGAAACAACGGAAGAGGACTGGAAAAAATTTAAGGACTATTTACAAAAACAATATAAGTTGTATGAATGTTAAAAATTTACACGATTCGGAAACTATAGCTTCAGCAATTAGATTTGGGAAACAGGAAATTATATTTTAAGTAAGAAAAGGTCAAAATCTAAGGTAATACTATGTTTAATTTAAGATATAAGTAACTGATGAAAAGTATGTTAAATTTAGAGGTATAGTATTTGAAAAGTACAAAATAAGGTACGAAACAAGGTAATAATTTGCTGATATCTTTATTATAAAGAATGCAGGGTAAGGGAGATGCGAGGAAGTCCAGTTAGTTATATAAAAATGTGTTGAATGGTTGGTTTTCTTTTCTTCTTTTTCTTTTTTTCTTTTTCTTGTTCTTTTACTTTTTTCTTCAGTGTATGTTTCTAACTTTGTATTTGAAAACTTAATAAAATATTTATATATAAAAAAAGGGGAAATCCTTTCGCTTTTCTGGGGCTCAGGGAAGTCTCAGAGCCGGAGGTTGGGGAAGGGACCCCCTTTGCTCTGCCCTCTTCTCCCGTCTTAGATTCGCATGGGGGTCCCCGCCCGAGCTTGCCTGGCCACCGGGCCACACAAGGGCCGCGCTCTACGCGGCACACCTTGCTAGCCGCGCAGCTGTCCTCCGCGGCTGCGGAGCGGCCCTGCGCCGGTGCCCAGCCCCTCTGGGCGCCCGCTGCGCTGCCAATGACAAGCGGGCGACGTCGCGGGCGGGGAAGGCGTCGCTTTCTTTCCCGATCCTGCATCCTCCCAGTCTTCCAGCCCTTTTTTGGGTTGGAAGCTCGTCTCGTTCGCCCTTCTCCTTTCTTCACCCTGCGCGCAATTTTCCTCCCTCGTCTCCCTCCCCATTTCTCCTTCCTTCCTTCCTGACTGACTGACTGACTGAAGGGCTTGGGCTCGGGCTCGGGCTCGGGCTCGGGCTCCGGGTCGGGCTCGGGCTCAGGCTCGGGCTCGGGCAGCCACAGCGTCGGCGGTGTTGGCGATCGGCGGCGCGGGGGGATGGCCCTCCCGGGGGAGCCGGCGCTGCTCAATGGGGTTGCCAAGGAGACAGGCCGGCCGCCCCCCTCCCCCGGCCCGGCGCCCCCCGCCGCGCCGGTGCCCGTTATCGAGCTGGTGCGCGCCGGGCGCCCTATAAAAACCGCGGACGCGCCAAGCTCCCTCTCCCGCCGCGCAGGAGCGATGCCTCTCTCTGGCTCTCCCTCCGCGCAGGCTGAGGGAGGGAGGGAGGGGCGCGTGTGACCCGTCTCTGCTGGGAGACCAAACCCAGCGAGGCAGAGTCGCGCGGAGGCGCCCAGGCAGCGCTGCCGGCTGCGAGGAGGAGCGCCAGGCAGCAGCAGGAGGCGCGGCCTCTCCTCGCCGCCGCCGCCCCGCCTCTCGCCGCCCGACTCGCCCGCCTCCCTCCAGGCATCTCGCGGCACACGAGGCAACGTCTCACGGCACACTCGTGTGCCGCGGAACACCGGTTGGGAAACACTGCTCTAGGGTTGTGCGCCCATCTCACTCAAGAGGCTGGGGGCCAGCGCTGTCCGGAGACACTTCCGGGTCACGTGGCCAGCGTGACATCGCTGCTCTGGCGAGCCAGAGCCGCACACGGAAACACCGTTTACCTTCCCGCTAGAAAGCGGTACCTATTTATCTACTTGCACCCGGGGGTGCTTTTGAACTGCTAGGTTGGCAGGCGCTGGGACCGAACGACGGGAGCGCACCCCGCCGCGGGGATTCGAACCGCCGACCTTTCGATTGGCAAGCCCTAGGCGCTGAGGCTTTTACCCACAGCGCCACCCGCGTCCCTTCCTATGCCAGTTACTTCCTCACAAATAAATCACAGAATTGTAGAGTTGGAATGGACCCCAAGGGTCATTTAGTCCAACTCCCTGCAATACAGGAATTTCAACTAAGCTTCCTTGATAGATGTCCCATCCAACCTCTGCTTTAAAACTTCCAAGGAAGGCGAGTCCACCACCTCCTGAGGGAGTCCTGTCCACTGTCAAAGAGCCCTTACAGCAGGCATAGGCAAACACGGCCCTCCAGATGTTTTGGAACAATTCCTATCATCCCTGACCATCGGTCTTCTTAGCTAGGGATGGTGGGAGTTGTAGTCCCAAAACATCTGGAGGGCCGAGTTTGCCTATGCCTGCCTTACAGTCAGAAAGTTCTTCCTTATGCTTAGTAGGCATCTCCTTTCTTGTAACATGAATCCTTTTGTTTGGGTCCTACCCTCTGGAGAAGGAGAAAACAAGCTTGCTCCATCGTCCATGTGACAGCCCTTTAGAGATCTGAATCATCTGATTACAGGCTGTTAACATGCTGCCTTCTATAACCACGAGGCTTCAATTACTTGATCTTACACATCTAAGAAACCACCTCTTCTTCTTTATCATGGATGTGGGTGTGTGCATGCACTGCTCCCATCTTTAGCTCCATTGCCAAACACTCTCTGCAATACAGAACTGCGGGGGAAAGCATAGGGCACATTCTAGGATGCTGTATTTGTGTAAGAAGAGGAATGGGAAACCAGTGTTTCCCCAGATGTTGCTGAACTGTGACTCCTGTCAGCCCCAGCCGGCATGACCAGTGATCAGGAATGATGGGAGCTGTATTTCAACATCTGGAGGACCACCTTGTCATGAAATTCTACTCAATATTAATCCAGAACAGATTCCAATTTATAGTTAGCAGAGTAAAAACTTAAACACGTTGAAGGATTCCCAAAAAATAGACCAGAGGCAGTTGTATTTCATCCAGCAGAGCTTTACTGCTACTGAAGGCAAATGAGCATAATGGTTATAAATCCAATACATTCAGGATTGGCACTGTCCATAAGAAATCCAGTTACAGCAGATTTAACTTAAACTAACAACAACTTATAATAAGTCTAAGACCTTAAAACTACACAGTGGTACCTTGGTTCTTGAACAGAGTGTGTTTCGGAAGCCACAGAAGACATTTGGCTTCCGAAAAATCGTTCAAAAACCCAAAGACTTGCTTCTGGGTTTCGATCATTCGGGAGCCGATTTGTTCGGGAGCCAAGGCATTTGAGAGCCAAGGTACAACTGCATATAAAACACCACACCAGAAGGAAAAGAGATAGAAAGAGAAAGTGAAACCCAGGCTCCTTCTGCCCCTACTTTTATAGTCAGCATGACCTTGACAGAAGAGATAACAGAATCAGTTTAAGCCAGCTGTACATCATGAACCTTCTGCTTGTTTCTTTCACACAAAGAAGCTTCCAGAACCCTCTTGAATTAAGCAGAATAGGAAAGATCTCTACACATCGGATGAATACTTTCTGGTAACACTATTTATTATTTTGATAAGCATGAACTAATATGCAATTCACATAAGTGACACATTGTTAATATCACATTTTAAACAAAAATTGTTAAAACAGGTTTAATTTGGTGTTTACAATAAAAATATTGGTACCAAACTTCAGTTTTCAAAACACTCTACTCTTTATAGTTAAACTCCTTAACGTATTGACTATCCTTAATGTATACTTCAAGGCTTCAAAGCACATACATTCCAGTAATCCTTGAGTGTCATCCAGGCACAAAAAATGGCACCCAGACTTTTTGAGGTGCTCGCAAATGGAGAACCTTTAGGTGTGAAATGTGCCTGGCGCCCTGCTAGGTATATACAGTATATACCTCAGCTGTCAGCAAACTGCTGTCCAGACATCCTAATTGGAGAACAGAAAAAGTCACTGCCATGAAACTGCCTCAATGTGTACGGGAGGGTGGGGGTGGAATGACCGATCACAGGGAAACAAGAGAAACCAGCCCATTTTTTTTTCTTGAGCTCTCTCTGACACTTTGATGAGGGAGCAGAGGAGAGCAAAACATATAGAGAACATACAAGTCTATGTATAGCATAAGTAGCTAACTAAATTAATTTACCTACATAATTTGAAATCCAGTTTGTAGCTAATATTCATAATCATAAACAGTAGCATCCAGCTAAGCCAGAGTAGAGCTACTTTGATCATGGCTTAGCTGCATATCACACAAAATTAATTAAAGAGAGTCGTGTGTGTGTGTGCGCGCTGAGAGAACCACACCATTTCCAGCCAGAGGGCCAAATTGCATTGTGGGCAATCTTCCAGGGGCCACATTCCAGTGATGAGTGGGGCCAGATTTTACATTAGCTACATTTTAGTCATATAAAAGCTACTCACAAACTATCATAGTTTAATGCTACATATAAGCCAGGCAAAAACGTCTTGAGGGAGATCGGGGGTGCTTTGTACTTTTCCCTCACTTGAATCCACTCAAGTCACTCCCAGCACTTCCCTTCTCCATACGGAGTGGCTGCCCAGCACTTCAGCGGAGGAGGGTGATACCTCTTCCTAGTCGCTACCATCAAGCATCTCCGCTGGAGGAGAGGAAGCTCCGGCTCCACCTCATCTTCAGACCGGAAGTATGACCCACAGCACAAATGTAAAAGGTTACAGGAGGGTACCTTTTTTTAAAAAAGGAAGAACCACCCAAAATTAGGCAGTCAGAGAGGAGCGCGCGGCGAGGAAGAACGAAGCGACCAGAACGGAGAGCAGAGGGTGACCATGCTGGGCCAAAAGGCCCGTCCAAGCCCAGCTGACTCCACGAAACTCAAAGGCACCGCCCGCACTCAGTGGCCCAAGGTAGACTGCCCCTGGACCTGGAGGCTCCACTTAAAATCTCGCGGCCCGCGACCAGAGCCAGGAGAAGAGAGAGACACAAACACAAAACCCGCGCGCTCCTCCTCCTGTTAAAAAAGGCTCCGACTCACCTGCAGATCCTCCAGCGCCACCACTTCGCTGAGCACCGACTCCATCGCGCCCAATCCCGGAAGCAGGGCCGGAAGCGGTCCTGCGACGGAAGCGGAACTTTAAAAGCCCACTCGGTCGCTCTAGGACGCGAGAGGGAGGCTGTCTCTATGGCGTCCCTTTTCAACTCCCCCTTAAGGTCAGCCACGCCCCCTTACCTCGCGCGCCTGCGCACGCGCCCTTCCGCAGAGAAACCGCGAGAGGTTTAAAAGCGCCCGCGCGCTTGTTTGTGCGTTGGTCCGTTTCCACGGCAACGGGGAGGGCGGGGCAGAGTCTTTTCCCGCCGTTTCCCTCCATCTTCACGCTCACTGGAGGAAAAGGAAGCGCGCTTCCTCGTGTTTCCAAAACCAAACGACAATAGGAGGTTGCCATGGCAACCTCGGGAGCAGGAAGCGTCATAGGCTAGGCGCGCTTTCCCTCAGAAAGTAATGCAAAATGGATTAATCCTTTTAAAAACAACCCCTAAAACAGCAATTTAACATGAATTTTACCCTCTAATGCAGGCATCCCCAACCTTCGGCCCTCCAAATGTTTTGGACTACAATTCCCATCATCCCTGACCACTGGTCCTGTTAGCTAGGGATCATGGGAGTTGTAGGCTTAAACATCTGGGGAGCCGCAGGTTGGGGATGCCTGCTCTAACGAGACCATTGAGCCATAAAATGAAAGCAATAAACAATGTACTGCAGTCACACAATCAGTAGCTGAACTGGGTTCCACACAGTCACAAAAGCAAAAAAAAAAAAAAAAAAAGCCGCAAAAAAAAGGCCTGAGGTGGAAAACGGCAATGGTGGGGAATCTGTCCCTCCAGCTGTTGCTGTAATATATTGTTAGGAGCCACCCCAAACTCTGCCCAGTGGTGCATTAGATTCCAGGGGGTATTTGCCCTCAGTGCAGGACCACATTTGGTCCCATTTTTGCCATCTTCTCTGATGATACATTTCCTCCTTCTTTGGTACAGGCAAAGTCCACACTATACATTTACAGTAAATCATCTCCCCCCCCCAAAAAAAAAGACTCCAGGGAACTATGGTTTATTACAGGTCTGGGAATTGTAGCTCTGTGAATGGGTAAACTACAGTTCCCATGATTTTTTTATGCATGTGGTTAAATGTATGGTGTTTTTGCAGCCATAACGTGACAGGCTGCCAATTGCCAACCAATGGCAATGTCCATTTCTTTGTGATAATTGTACTTTCCCTAGAAAACACACACACTAGTTAGCAGGCACTTAATTAGGACAGGGAGGTGAAGCTCAAATGTTCTGCTTCATGTTTGAACCTGCCCTCAATTATATGCACTTATCTGCTATTTTCCTAATGGTAATTGGAATAAAAATAATCCTAACTATTCCCTTGTCACATGCGGTTTATCTGCCCTTGGTGGAGATGAGGGCGTTGCCTGAGCTAGCAATGTGTTGTCTTATTTGGTTAATGAGACAAAATTAGCTTTAGGGCAGGAACTGGTTTAATTACATAAAGCAGCTGGGAATAAATCTGCAAACAGGGACAACCCACTTGCGAAAGTTTCAAAAGTTTGTCCTCAAGTAGAGCACGTGGAGATTCCTGTGCTTTTTATAATAATAATAATAAATTTTATTTATATCCCGCCCTCCCCAGCCGAAGCCGGGCTCAGGGCGGCTAACAACAATCAAATAATGCAACATTCTAAAAACATTTCATTACAAAAATTAATTAAAATCAAATTGATGGCAACCATTAAGCAAAAATTCTGTGCCCTGACCAAAGGCCTGGTGGAACAGCTCTGTCTTGCAGGCCCTGCGGAAATATGTCAGGTCCCGCAGGGCCCTAGTCTCTTGTGACAGAGCGTTCCACCAGATTGGAGCCGCAGCCGATAAAGCCCTGGCTCTAGTTTTTACAGCTGGGCAAGGGGCAGAAACCCAACAGGGGCAGAGCTTTCGCCACCAATGCATCTCTCGACCTGAAAAAGCGGCACCCATTTAATTTCCATATTCTCTCTGCCCCTGAAAATGTGGTAGTTTAGTAGGAATGGCTGAGCGATAGATCACTGCCTGTTCCTGATCATTCACATAGAATCCTTGTGGATTTTTCATTCTGTTAAGAACAGAAGAAGAGCCAAAGGCTCATTTAGTCTGGCCTCCTGTTCTTACAACCAGATGCCTATAGGAAACCCACAAGCATTGTCTGAGCACAACAGCACACTTCCCACTTGTGATTTCTAGCAACTGGCATTCAGGGACATACTACATCTGACAGTTGAAGGGAAATGTAGTCGTTGATAGCCTTATCCTCCATGAATTTGCAAAATCCTCTTTTAAAACCGTCCCAAGTTGGTAGCTGATATGTACTGAGTTGAATAGGATCCAAAATGCAGCAGTCTGATTGGTCCTAGAACAATAGGCTTCAGAATGCAGCAGTCTGATTGGTCCTAGAACAATAGGATTCAGAATGCAGCAGTCTGATTGGTCCTAGAACAATAGGCTTCAGAATGCAGCAGTCTGATTGGTCCTAGAACAATAGGCTTCAGAATGCAGCAGTCGGATTGGTCCGCAGGAGCCAACCAATCCAACTCAACAACCTGATTGACCTACAGGAGAATCCCAGAATTGGCCAATCATGTGGGGCCCACTGTGTAAATAATGTACAGGTTAAGAACTTTGCTTCAGGACGAGAACAGAAATTGTGCTCTGGCAGCAGGAGGCCCCATTAGCTAAAGTGGTGCTTCAGGTTAAGAACAGTTTCAGGTTAAGAACGGACCTCCGGAACGCATTAAGTACTTAACCCGAGGTACTATTTCTGGGTTAGCGTAGTCTGTAACCTGAAGCGTATGTAACCTGAAGCGTATGTAACCCAAGGTACCACTGTACTTTCTTTTGTCTGTCCTGAATTTTCCAACATTCAGCTTTATTAGATGCTTAAAAGTTCTGGTTTTAATACGTGTGAGGGGGAGGGGATTTTTCCATTTTCACACCATGCATGATCTTAGGCCTCTGCATCAGGTCTCCACCTGAAATATACTCTGAGTCAAGAGCGGATTTCATGCTCTTTATTCAGCTCATAGTGGTGAGGAGGAATGAATGTCCCCTCAAAGTATCTGCTTTATATACATTATTTACACAATGGGCTGCACGTGATTGGCTAATTCCGGACTTCTTCTGTAGGCCAATCAGGTTGTGGATTCACTTCCATCTGGAGCCGGATTGGGTGGCTCCTGCAGACCAATCATACTGCTGCATTGTTCTAGGACCAATCAGACTGCTGCATTCTGAATCCTATTGTTCTAGGACCAATCAGACTGCTGCATTTTGGATCCTATTTTTCTAAGACCAATCAGACTGCTGCATTTTGGATCCTATTCACTCAGTACATAACACCACCTGTCCTCTTCTCTAAGCTAAATACCCCCAGATATTGCTCCATCCCCTTAATCATTTTGGTTGCCCTTTTCTGAACCTTAGCCATTGGTTAACACTTCTCACTTGGGTTTCTCACCACTGGTCGGAAGGAAAGGCTTTGTGTTTGCACGGCCCCTAAGATTTCACAGCGTGCTGGCCTCCCTGGCCATCATGAGGTCTAGAAACCTATTCAAAAGAAAACAAAAGAGAGTGAAGTCCACACCAGACACAAAATTCCACACTAATGTGATGCTGTTGCACATACCCAGAATTCACACACACATGCAATACAGTCCAGATATTTACCGGGAGGGATCCAATCCAGGTGACAAAGGAAAACGACGCATGTGCCATCTTTCTTCTTTCATCTCCTGGGTGAAAGAATTAACGGGATTCTCTGGCCTGACTGGATCATCTGCAGTAACCCCCTAGGAGATAAAAGTTTCAGAGGAAGGGGTGGGGGAATAATTTTATGCTATTAGCTGCTGTGAATGCAGAAGCCAAAGGCTGCCTTGCTGAGCAACTGGAGTCTCCAGTGTCCTGTCATCCCTCCAGAGAATCCATTTTCAAATGTGCCCTTCCTTTGTGGCGGGTGGTGGCCCGTCACTCATCTCTCCTTGCCTCCTCAACTCACTACATTTTCCATTTGGCAGCAATGCTCCAGGGATGGTAAGAGCCAACAAAATATTATTTTGCTCTCTGAGTCACTTGAAAAAGGGAGTTTGGGGGTCCGGGAGATTAATTGTGCATTCCGTTTTCATAGCCAAGGGAGCTGCTAGTTTCTGTCCCTCTTTCTGGTCCGGCTCGCTAGCTAACACGATGTGAAATATTACTAATATTTGCTGTCAACCAAGAATCGGAGCGAAGACCTCCATGTTACAGAGGGCCGCCTTCTTTGGATGTCACATCTATTTTCCGCGAGAGGTGAATACAAAAGATCTGCTTGCGGATCCATGAACATCCTAGGACTCCCATTTTTCATGCTGGTGGTCCGCACTGATGGGCGCCAGTGTCAGCTGCCAGTCCTCAGGATGGAGGCCTTTGAGAGAAGGGGAGACATCCTCATCGGAGGGCTTTTCCCGCTGCATCACCAAACATCAAGCGATGCTGTGGCCATCACCTTCACAATGCCGCCTAATCCCACATACTGTCACACGTCAATGCGGCGCCAGCAGCCCCTCCCGAAGGATACTGCTGGAACTGTCAATGGAAAACGTCCCTCGAGGTAAATCTGGGGTGTTTGGGCTGCTTTGGAGCAGGGTGGGCGGACAATTTTCCTTTTCTCTTCTGCCTATGGAGGGCTCATTCACTCACACGAGTATGCACGTCACCTGGGGCCTCTCCGACCAAGCCTGTGATGGTGTAGCGGTTAAGTGTGGGACTAGGACCTGTGAGAGACTTGGGTTCGAATCTGGGGCCTCAACAGCCTGGCAATTCATTGTGGGGGGGTGTTCTGTGACATGTTCTTGACCTCATAATAATGCATTAGCGGTGACTAGTGGCCTTCACCACACTCTTTTCGGCGACTGTTGAAATTTTATAAGCCTACCCAGATATTTAGAATGCTGGTTTCTTTTTCTTTTTTGTAAAACCAGCAAAATCTGGATTTAATTGTTTTTACTAATAACAGAAAACAATAGAAAATTGCTTCAGTTTATTTTTTAATATAATTTTAATTAGGGGTGTGTGTGTGTAAGTTTATATACTCTCCTCACACTCACTGGTATCTGTGTTCAGTAGCTAGTAGCCACCAATCATCAGAACCCATTGAAGACACATTTATTTACCATTCATGTCCATTAGCTATTGACTGAACAACATCTGAGGCAGGTCTATCTCAGTTGGCAGCCGGTGCAATAATTTGTACAGTCCAAAGATCAATTCCTGCATTCTGATTGGAATCCCCTGCATTTTCTCCTGCTTTCCCACAGCTTGGTGCTCTGGTTTTACAAGTTCATCCAAACCATGGTCTTTGCCATCAAAGAGATTAACCAGAATTCAAGCCTATTGCCCAACATCACTCTCGGCTTCCAGATCTTCGATTCTTGCCAGATTCTTTCAAGAGCCCTTTTGGGTGCCACACAGTTTCTTGCGGGCGGTCAAAACCCCACCCCCAACTTTCACTGCGGCCACACCCCGCCTCAAGCTGGTCTTATAGGAGAGGCAGGCATAACCGAGTCCAGGATGATAGCTAGGTGGTTGGATATCTATAAATACCCTCAGGTAGGATTGGTGTGGGGTTGTGAGTTCCTCTGAGGCAGGAGCTGTCCTTTCGCACTTTGCAAAATGCCAGAGCCCACAAGGATAAAACACATTTCACACAATGTCTGTGGGTTTTACATAAGTTGTGGCAAAGGAGCAAATAGCATTGTGGGACTTTTAAAAGAGTAACCAATTTTTTTGTGGCGTATGCTTTTATGGACTTAGATGCACTGGATGAAGTGGATAACTTAACGCTTTAGACCGGCATAGCCTATGCAGATGGGAGCCTAATCTGTAATGTGAAAGATTTTCTGAGTTTGTTTCCATGGTGTGTGGATACAAGACTTAACACCTGTACATGTATTTGTTTTGGAAGACAGCACCTTATGTTTGGTAACTGTTTTTAAAAATTTACAATAAGGTTTGTTTGTTAAAAAAGAAGCAGCAGCAGCAGAAGAAGAAATGGATTTGAGCAGTCCCTTAAAGCTTTCGCTATAATAAAATTGGTAGTCTTTTAAGGGTGTTGTAATTTTGGCGCAAGGGACGCGGGTGGCGCTGTGGGTAAAAGCCTCAGCGCCTAGGACTTGCCGATCGAAAGGTCGGTGGTTCGAATCCCCGCGGCGGGGTGCGCTCCCGTTGTTTGGTCCCAGCGCCTGCCAACCTAGCAGTTCGAAAGCACCCCAGGGTGCAAGTAGATAAATAGGGACCGCTTACTAGCGGGAAGGTAAACGGCGTTTCCGTGTGCGGCTCTGGCTCGCCAGAGCAGCGATGCCACGCTGGCCACGTGACCCGGAAGTGTCTCCGGACAGCGCTGGCCCCCGGCCTCTTGAGTGAGATGGGCGCACAACCCTAGAGTCTGTCAAGACTGGCCCGTACGGGCAGGGGTACCTTTACCTTTAATTTTGGCGCGGGTGGCACTGTGGGTTAAACCACAGAGCCTAGGACTTGCCGATCAGAAGGTCGGCAGTTCGAATCCCCACGACGGGGTGAGCTCCCGTTGCTTGGTCCCTGATCCTGCCAACCTAGCAGTTCAAAAGCACCTCAAAGTGCAAGTAGATAAATGGGTACCGCTCTGGCGGGAAGGTAAACGGCTTTTCTGTGCACTGCTCTGGTTTCGCCAGAAGTGGCTTAGTCATGCTGGCCACATGACCCGGAAGCTGTACGCCGGCTCCCTTGGCCAATAAAGTGAGATGAGCGCCGCAACCCCAGAGTCGGCCACGACTGGACCTATAATGGTCAGGGGTCCCTTTACCTTTAATTCTGGCAGATGGTTGTAGTCGCATGGAAGGGCCAGTAGAGGGCAATGTGGTTGCATGGATTGAGTGGGAGCATTATTGTACCTGTATTTATTAGCCTGTGGCTGGGAGCTGTTTATTGTGAATTTATTATTTCCATGAAAAATGCCTTATATGATAATACCCTGACTAGGCTTCATGCTGTATCTAGGTGCACCTACTTGCATTACTGTCTCTCCCCGCACCCTTCCAACAATTTTTGCATCCTAGAGACTTTTCTGTTCTTCCAAGCGATGTCAGTTCCATTTTTTTTAAAAGTCTAAATGATATAGGTTTTTAGGTTTTTTGAAGTCTACATGGTATTGGTTTATAAGGTGGTGTGTTCAGGGAGTCTCTGGCTGAGTGCAATGTCAGCGAAAATAAAATGGCAGCATTAAAGAAAGCCATTGCCTCAGATATTCAGATACACGCAAGTCCCACGGTACGGATATCCAAATCAGATGTTCGCGTACCAAGGTCATAGCTGTCAATCGTCCCTTATTTGGCGGGAAAGTCCCTTATCCCAGCGCCATGTCCCGCTGCTGTCCCTTATTGATGCTGTCCCTTAAATTTCCCGGGTTTCAAAGGAAGCAGCTCCTCTCCCTCCCTCCCTGCCGGCCAGGGAGGAGGGAGGCTCCAACTGTGTTGCTTGGCTGCGTTGCTCACCCAATAAGGAGTCTAAGAATGACTGGGGGGTTAAGCTTGCATGCCTTGTGCCGATCAAAACAGCCGCGTTGCCTGGGGACTCGCCTTTGCTCAGCGCTTCCCAGCGGAGAGGTGACAGTGGTTTCCCTTGCTGCATCCCCTTTGCCGGGTTGCTGCGCTGTGGGAACAACCGCTTGAGGCCTTGTTTGGCTGATGGCTGGGCTTTCTGCCTTTGGCTCGGAGGGGCTCAGAAGTTGAACATACCTGTGCCCAAAAAAATCCCTTATTTTGGCTGCTGATCCCTTATTTACGAGGCTGCTGGTCCCTTATTTTCAAATCTGTAAGTTGACAGTTATGGTGAGGGTGCAAGTCCCTCGTTCAAATAACCGAAGGTTCGTCTGGCAAGTGCGTCTGCATAGGGGGACCGGCGTGTGTTTTTGTTTAACAGACGGATGGTTTTCTCCTCCTCTTGCGCCCAGATCAGTTACTTTGCCACGGGCCCGGTGTCCGACGACGGCTCTCAGTTCCGCTCTTTCTTCCGCACCGTCCCCAGCAACAGGCTGCAGGCCCTGGGCCTGGCTCGGCTGGTGACCCACTTTGCCTGGACGTGGGTCGGCCTGCTCACGACGGACTCCGAATACGGGAGGCAAGGCATAGAGATTGTGCGGGAGGAGATCGTCCGGAACGGGGCCTGCGTTGCCTTTTCGGAGCTGCTCGACAAACCGCCGGACGTGGGCAACGTCGAGAGAGTCGCCAGAAGGGTCGCAGCATCCAAGAGCCAGGTCATTGTCACCTTCTGTGGGTCTGAGGCTCAGCCTCTGCTGCTCCTGCTGCACAGCCAGGGGGTGACAGGGAAGGTTTGGCTCTGCTCCGAAGCCATGAGCCACATCACCTTCTACAGGAACCGGCAGGCCTTGCTGATGCTCAGCGGTTCGCTGGCCATCTCCCCTCGCAAACGGCCAGTCCCCGGCCTGAGGGACTTCGTAGTCCAGCTCCACCCTTCCACTTCGCCAGAAGACATCTTCATCCAGGAGTTCTGGGGCGAAGTCTTCCATTGCTGGTGGGACGCGAGCTCTGAAGAGGGGGGAAACAACATCAGCCATTCCTGCACAGGGAAGGAGAACTTGGGGGACGGCAGGAACTCCTTTGTCGGCATGATGGGGTTCGGCTTGTCCTTCAACATCCACAATGCCGTCTATGCCATCGCCCACGCCCTGCACGACATGGCGCAAGAGGAGCCAAGGGGACTGAAGAGGACCGAAGGCGGAGTTCCTGGGATCGAGCCCTGGAAGGTAATACAGTGGTACCTCGGGTTACATACGCTTCAGGTTACATACGCTTCAGGCTACAGACTCCGCTAACCCAGAAATAGTACCTCGGGTTAAGAACTTTGCTTCAGGATGAGAACAGAAATCGTGCTCCGGTGGCACAGCAGCAGCGAGAGGCCCCATTAGCTAAAGTGGTGCTTCAGGTTAAGAACAGTTTCAGGTTAAGTACGGACCTCCGGAACGAATTAAGTACTTAACCTGAGGTACCAGCTGAAAGAAACCACAGGAGGAGCGCTCTTTTGCTGAGGTCCCGGCTAGAGGGTTTACAGCAGGATCTGGCTGGCCACTGTGAGAACAGGATCCTGAAATAGATAGCCCATTGGTCTGATCCAGCGGGCTCTTCTTAATGTTCTTACATTGAAATGCTTTTGGGGGGTTTCCAGAATGGGTGCAGCTTAAGGTGGCTGCCTCCAGATGTTGTTCTTCTTTATCAGATTCTCCCCCCCCCCACAAAAGAGCAGAGAGGGTTAATAGCTGAAAAAGGAACTCAGAATCCAGCATATGTCCTCCTTTTACAGAAGAGATGTGGCGAGTCCTTCCTTTGTCCCTCTTATGGGTTTTCAGCAACACCGTAAATCCTTCCCGAGCACGAACAGGGGAGGATGGAACGCACAGTGTGAAATCTCCTCATAACAGTGAAGACACAGTGGTACCTCAGATTAAGACCTTAATTCGTTCCGGAAGTCTGTTCCAAAACCAAAGCGTTCCAAAACCAAGGCACACTTTCCCATAGAAAGTAATGCAAAATGGATTAATCCGTTCCAGACTTTTAAAAGCAACGCTTAAGAAAGCAATTTAAATTCAATTTATGAATTTTACTATCTAACGAGACCGTTGATCCATAAAATGAAAGCAATAAACAATGTACTACAGTCACACAATCAAGCAATCAGTAGCTGAAAAACAAACAAAAAAAAGAGCCACAAAAACGCAAAATAAATAGCAAAAACAGGCAAACCTCAGCGTAACACTCAAAACGGAAGTGTGGCACTCAAATCGGAAGCGAAACACTCAAAACGGAGCACGTTTGGCTTCCGAAGAAAGTTCACAAACCAGAACACTTACTTCCGGGTTTGCAGCGTTCTGGTTCCAAGTTGTTCAAGTACCAAGGTGCTTCAGAACCAAGGTACCACTGTATTCTGTTGCCAGTAACTAGCCACACGATTTGGCCAGTTAACTAGTCTAGGGCAGCATGTACATACGAGCAGAAAGCCTAATCTCTTCCCTCTAAAACTCAGGCGCCTGGAACCTTTGGCCTTCCAGGCGTGGCTGAACTACAACTCCCATCTGGCCCAGCAAGTGTGGGGCGATAGGAGCTGCAGTCCATCAACATCTGGAGGCCCAATGGTTCCTTGCATGCCCTTAACTCAGATGATGCGTATTTACATAGAGCACAAAACTGATGCCTGCCCCTTTCCTCCCTGCCTTGCTTCCAGTTGCTTCACTACTTGAGGAAAGTCCGTTTCAAGAACAAGGTGGGCGAGGAAGTCTCCTTTGACCAGCACGGTGACCCCCCTGCCCTCTTTGATGTTCTCAACACCCGCTACCCTTCCATGAAGAAATTCCAAGCTGTGCCAGTGGGGCAGATTGCGTTCAGCCCCTCACAAGGCGAGGAACTGAAGGTGGATGACAGCGCCATCATGTGGGCAGGAGGGAATACCCAGGTAGGACAGATTTTATCCTCCAAGGCAGGTGCGGGGGGGGGTACACTTTGCCCTCCAGATGCTACTAAACTACAACTCCCCGGCCATTGGCCATGCTTGCTAAGGCTGATGAGAGTTGTAGTTCAACAGCATCTGGAGGAAGGACCAGATGTTCACCATTGTGAACTTGCAATGTGAAAGGAACTGTAAATATAAACAGAATTTTATGGACAAATAGAGGACAATATGATATGCAGTGGAAAACAGTTATTGGCTGACTCCACAGAGGGGAGGAAGGAAGTCTGGGAATTAAGAGAATGCTACACTTTTTGGGGATTCTAATGTATGTGTGAATATAAAATTAAATTGTAAAACCGATTAAAAAAATATTTTTTTAAAAAATGTTCACCATTGCTCCTCAAAGGGCATACAGTGGTACCTCAGGTTACATACGCTTCAGGTTACATACACTTCAGGTTACAGACTCCGCTAACCCAGAAATAGTGCTTCAGGTTAAGAACTTTGCTTCAGGATGAGAACACAAATCGGGCTCCGGCGGCACGGCAGCAGCGAGAGGCCCCATTAGCTAAAGTGGTGCTTCAGGTTAAGAAGAGTTTCAGGTTAAGAACGGACCTCTGGAACGAATTAAGTACTTAACCTGAGGTACCACTGTATCTATCTTGCATATGTAGATATGCAGAGAAGGAGGTTGTTGTTGTTTTAAACCTCTTATTCACTCTTCCCCAGGGGGTCAGTTCCTGTGTGAGGACTGGATGTGGCAGGGCACATGAGCGACGGGCTGCGGCTTAGTTGCAGAGCATCTTCTTTGCATGCAGAAATCCCAGGTTCAATTCCCGGCATCTCCAGATAGGCCTGTCCAAAACCCAGAAGAGACACTGCCAGTCAGTGTAGACAGTACTGAAGTAGGTAGGAATATGGTTTGACTTAGTAAAGGCAGCTTCCTGTGTTTGTGTGCCCTGAGGTACATCTTGTGGTCAAGCCTGTCCAGTTTAGAATGCAGCTCCTAGGAAACGGAGGTCTTTGCTACAGCTGTCCTGTGGAGTACAGTGTATGCTGCTCTTAAAAACAAAAAGAGAAAAATAATAAACCAGAGAGGGTTGAGGAGGGTCCTGAGTTTTCTCACTCAGGGCCTCTGGGCAGCATCCCGATTTTGATCTGCAGGATGCTGGAGGGTAGGTATTTGGCTCCTGCACCAAACGTTCTCCACACCTGCCCTATGTCAGTGGGCAGGAGCAGCAGCCATGGACCCAGTTCCCACCTGGAGGCAACTGCAGATCCTCCAAGTGTCCCTTTTTTCCGAGACTTCCGGGTTGACGCGATCTGGAAATGGCGGATTCCCTCCGAGCTCCGGAGGGAACCGGCTCCACTGAGGATGGGTCTTTGCCGCGCCGGCGACGCGGGGACCCTTAAAAACCGCAGGCGCGGAAGCCTGCGGACTGAAGACTCGGCGGGTGCCTTAAGCGCCCCCCCTGATTCGCAAAGAGCCTTTTTAAAGGCTGCGGAGGGGATACGGGGGTGGCGTGGCACTGAGAGTCGATCGCTACCTCGGTGGAGTGAAGCCGCGAGCCATGACCAGAGAGCGCTGACTTCCTTCCTTGAAAATTTGGACTGAAAGAATTACCCGTGAGTAAGACGGATTGGGACTTTATAAAAATTTTACCTTGAATTGGAGACGATCGGGGGGTGTGCTAAAAGGAAGTCCGCACCCCCCCTCTTGCAGACGACCTAAGCAACGGCATAAGAACTAAGCTGGAGAGCCTACCCCTGGTGGGGTGAGTTAAAAAGGACATTAACTTCTAAGATTTAACTAAAGGAAATTTTGGGCTGGAGAGTGGAGTTTTGGGAACCTTCTTTTTGCTTCAAACAACCCCCCCTCCCGGGCTCGGGAACGTCCTGCCTTGGTGCCTGTGTAAGAGCTGCGGAGTTTGACAGCTGTCAAAGCTGCCAAACGGTCGGTTTAAAGTGCAAAAATTGTCATCTCTTGACTAAGACGAGCTATAATTGAGCTAAAACTGTTGGAAACAAAGTAATAATAATCAGTTAAAGGATTGTTGGTGAAAAGGCTAATAAGTAACCAGATTCCCCCTAGGGGGAATTCTGTGAAACTACAATGGATACAATGGCTGCGGAAGGAAAGTTACTAGTGGAAATCGAAAGGATGTTTCAATTGGTGGGAATCTTACAAGAGCAGAGCTTGGCCATGAATAAACAACTTGAGACTATGACCTTGGGAACAGGCAACTCTGCTCTTTGTATTGAGGACCTCAACGAGAAAGAATTCACAGCTGAATGGGAAACAATACCTATAGAGTTGGAAGAGACTAAACAACAAGAAAAAGAAGAAGTAATCCTGGGAAGCAACAACCAAAAGCTGACATCTGCGGAACATAAGCAAGGAAACGCTGGGAACATATCTACTACAAGTCTGCGAAAGATACAGAAGAAGAAGGAGGAGGTCCCGGGACAAAATGGAATACAGAAATTTAAAATAAAGAAATATGCTTGGGGCCTCCGTTTGGACTTTGATCTTGAAGAGATAGGTTTTGTGGAAATTCTTCAGCAGTTACTTTTGAATCCCCTTGTGGGAAGAGGAAACACTTTGATGGTGAAAGAACTTTTCCCAGACTTGATGACTGACATAAAGGACTACCAACGGGACAGGCGGAGAGGGACTGAAAGGGATTTGAAAGCCTCGGACGTGAGGAACCCAGGCTGAGAAATTCGAATTTGGATCTTTATTGGGAAGGGACAAAACCGGGGATGGGAGGGAGGGAAGAAGAGACTTTTAAAAACTCTTAAGACTTTTAGGTTTGGTTAATATGACTCTTAATTAAGATAAAATGAAAATCGATGGAAGAGAACTTAAGTCCAACTTAGGAAAATTAATTTTTATTATAAAATAAGGTAATAAGATGAATAACATTGTTAAGAGGAGAAACACCAACTTGCTGATATAATCTTGAAACTGGGATGCACGAGGGGAGGTGGGGGGAAGTCAGGGAACAAGTTTATGAAACGGGGATTTGTTGATTTTATACATGTTTTTGTCTTTTTCTTTTCTTTGTGTATGTTTTGTCTTTATAAAACCAGAAAACCAAATAAAAATTTTATTAAAAAAAAAAACAAGTGTCCCTTTTTTCCAGGGACACCCTTGATTTAGAGGAACCATCTCAGTTTCTGATTGGCTCCCAGAATGTCCCACTTTCCTAGTTTCATTGGAGAAATGTTGGCGGGTATGGCAATCCTGCATAGAGAAGTTCTTTTGATGTTTAATTATGTTTTTATGTATGTTGGCAGCTGCCCAGAGTGGCTGGGGCAACCCAGTAAGATGTGTGGGGTATAAATAGCAAGATAAAAATTATGGAATGAGACGACACGTCCCTATTTTCATCGGAGAAATGTTGGAGGGTTATGCAACTGTGGCACATCTCCAGGAGACTGGGGCGCCCCACAAGTGTTCTCTACCAGTGAATTCTCTGCACCCTCACCAAAACTACAGTTCCCAGGATTCTTGGGGGGGGAGCCATGATGCTTAAGCTGATAACACACCAGTGTAAGCCTTTTTCATATAGATGTGGTATTTTAAAACAGAGAGTGCTTCGTCATTCATGGTCATTTTAATTGTCACAATGTAGGTAAACATTGGCGTTGCAATGAGAAATATCAAGTCAGCCAAATCTTCCTCTCCTCTCTTATTTAGGTCCCTGTCTCAGTCTGTACACCGAGTTGCCCCATGGGCCACCACAAAACCCAGCGCTCAGATATGGCTACTTGTTGCTTTGAATGTGTGCCGTGTGCAAGCGGGGAAGTTTCAAACCAGACCGGTGCGTGGAATGCCCACTATAGTCACTCTGGGAAAGATTATCTATGCCACAAATATCTGTCAGTTTTATATACCTGTTGTTGCTGTTTTGGCTGCCCCCCATGGCATTCAGCTAGCATTGCTAATAGCTATGGATAGGTTGGTCCTCCATAAACTCACCAAATACTCTTTTAAAGCCATCTTGGCATCAAATCACATATTGTGAGGAAGGAAGAAAGGAAGGAAGATAGATAGATGATGATGATAGATAGATAGATAGATAGATAGATAGATAGATAGACAGATAGATTAGATTGACAACACATAGCTTGGCCCTAAACTAGGGGCTGTTCCCATATCTTGCAGCTGACAATTCCCAAAATTAATGACATGTTCCATCCTATAAAGAAGTACCGTATTTTTCGCCCGATAAGACGCACTTTTTCCCCTCCAAAAATGAAGGGGAAATCGGGGTGCGTCTTATGGGGCGAATGCCTGCAAGCCTCGCGCGCCCGGCAGGAGGTCCCACCGGGTGCGCGAGGCTTGGGGCGGCAGCCTGTGCTTCTAGGTGCGCGCAAGCAGTCCGCTAGCCTTGGGAGAGCCGCGCGGCTCTCCCAGGGCTAGCGGACTGCTTGCACGCACGCAGAAGCTTGGGGCGCGCTGAGCTCGGCACGCCCCAAGCTTCTGGTGTAGCGCAGGGGTCCGCTAGCCCTGGGAGAGCCCCGCGCACCTAGAAGCTTGGGGCGCGCTGAGCTCAGCACGCCCCAAGCTCCTGGTGTAGCCCAGCGATCCGCTAGCCCTGGGAGAGCCCCGCGGCTCTCCCAAGGCTAACGGACTGCTTGCGCGCACCTAGAAGCTTGGGACGCACTGAGCTCGGCACGCCCCAAGCTTCTGGTGTAGCGCAGCGATCCGCTAGCCCTGGGAGAGCCCCGCGGCTCTCCCAGGGCTAGCGGACTGCTTGCCGGCACGCAGAAGCTTGGGGCGTGCTGAGCTCCGCACGCCCCAAGCTCCTGGTGTAGCGCAGCGCACCTGGGGGGGAAATAAAAATTTTTTCCTTTATTTCCCCCCCAAAAAACTAGGTGCGTCTTATGGGCCGGTGCGTCTTATGGGGCGAAAAATACGGTATTTCTCTTTCATCTGTGATAATTCTCCTGCCAATCAATTGCTCAGGGTCAACCCAAGATTAGTATTTTGGGGAGGGGGATATTTCTAACCCATTGTGCCCTACACCACAGTTCCAGACACACTTGAATTACGCTTTGAGCCTGTGCCAGTGATATACTCTGTGTACACTCAGAGACTCCCTTGTTTAGTGTAACTTTAGGGTTTTCACAGCGTTAGACACAGGCTGCAGGGCAAAAGCTAGTGAGGTCAAATAGAAGCTGAACCAAGGATTATGAAGGACACCTGAAGGTTTTACAGTGGTACCTCAGGTTACATACGCTTCAGGTTACATATGCTTCAGGCTACAGACTCCGCTAACCCAGAAATAGTGCTTCAGGTTAAGAACTTTGCTTCAGGATGAGAACAGAAATCGTGCTCCGGCGGCGCGGCGGCAGCAGGAGGCCCCATTAGCTAAAGTTGTGCTTCAGGTTAAGAACAGTTTCAGGTTAAGTACGGACCTCTGGAACGAATTAAGTGCTTAACCTGAGGTACCACTGTACTTCCTTTCTTTTGGGAGGGAAGGAAGGGGAATTGGTTGGTTGGTGCAGTGATGAGATGCTCTCCGAATCCCTCTTTGCTTCTAGATTCTTCCGCCTGCTCAAGGTGTCCCGAAGACCAGTGGCCTGGTGTGGGGCAGACACAGTGTGTACCCAAAAGGGAGCTTTTTCTTCATTTCCACGAGCCTCTGGGAGCCGGTCTGGCCAGTGCCTCCATCTGCGGCTCCCTCTTGCCCGTCTTGATCCTCGGCCTCTTCGTCACTCACCGGGGGACCCCTCTGGTACGAGCCAACAGCCGAGAGCTCAGCTACCTCCTTCTCTCAGGGCTGGCACTCAGTTTCCTCTGCTGCCTGCCCTTCCTTGGGCGACCCACGCCTTGCTCCTGCTTGTGGCGCCAGGCTGCCTTTGGGCTGACCTTTGCCCTCTGCCTCTCCTGCATCTTGGCCAAGACGGCGATGGTGGTGGCAGCCTTCCGGACCACCAGCCCCGGCAACCCCGCAAAGCTGTGGCTCGGGTCCAGGACACCCCGTGTCGTGGTCCTGCTGGGTTGCCTGCCCCAGCTTCTGCTGTGCGCCTCGTGGCTGGCCAACTCCCCTCCCACCCCCGGGAGAGATTTTCACTCCATCCCTCACGCCATATCCTTCTTCTGCGATGAAGGCTCTCTCAGTGCATTCTGGGGCATGCTGGCTTACCTGAGCCTGCTGGCGGCGCTCAGCTTGGCCGGGGCCTTCCTGGCACGGAATCTCCCCGACGCCTTCAACGAGGCCTGGCTCATCTGTTTCAGCTTGTTGGGGTGCCTTGGGGTGTGGCTAGCCTTCGTGCCCACTTACCTCACCTCCAGAGCGTGGTACACAGCAGCCACAGAGGCCTTCGCCATCCTAGCCTCCAGCTCAGCCTTGCTTTGCGGGATGTTTTTCCCCAAGTGCTACATCTTGTTGTGGCACCCTGAGCTGAACACCAGGAGGTTCCTCATGAGAAGGGAAACACACACCAGCGCTTAACGTGACCTTAAGCGCGAGCGGGGAAAGACTCTAGGGATGCTGAGTTTTGCCTGCGGATGTTTCTCCCTCATTCTCAAGATTCACCTGCTGGTATCTGAAGAGGTCGGTCAAACAAATCCGGCTCGGGCAGACGCAAGCCAGATGCATCAAACACTCAGTTTTCCCATTCTGGAAAATGGGGGTAGAAGTGATCTTGTTCACGGTGTTACTGCAAGGATGAAGCTCACAGCAAATCGAAAAAAAGACGCATCAAAGATGAGCTGTGGGAGACATCCCCAGAAATTGACATTTAATATTTAATATTTTCATTTGGGGAGATGGGGTTGGAGCATGGGTAGGCAAACTAAGGCCCAAGGGCTGAATCCAGCCCGCGGATGATCTGGGAATCAGTGTGTTTTTACATGAGTAGAATGTGTACTTTTATTTAAAATGCATCTCTGGGTTATTTGTGGGGCCTGCCTGGTGTTTTTTACATGGGTAGAATGTGTACTTTTATTTAAAATGCATCTCTGGATTTATTTGTGGGGCATAGGAATTTGTTCATTTTTTCCCCTTCAAAATATAGTCTGGCCCCTCACAAGGTCTGAGGGACAGTGGACCGGCCCCCTGCTGAAAACGTTTGCTGACCCCTGGGTTGGAGGGAACTCAAACTTGCCATAAACGTTTTTAGAATTCAAAGCTTACCTTGCTCCCTTATAAATGGGCTCATGTCTAGATTGCCTTTAGGGACTGGGGAACAGGACATCACTGTGGTCTACCCGTATCTGTGAGACATATTTCGCTAGTTCTGTCCTCTGGCACCTAAATGCCTGTCTTTTGCAACAGGTACAAATATTTATTTTTTGTGTTTTAACATTTTGTATTGTTTGATCATTACTGTTGTGATTATCAAGTTTTTGGGGAGTTTAATCTGGATTTCATTTTGTTGGTTGTGATGTCATAGTTTTGTGTGATTAAAAAAAATATTGTGCGATATATTATTTTGGTTAGCCCCTTCAGACTTTTTTTTTAAAGTACGAGAGATAAATTTAGTAAAACAGTCAAGCTGCTCAGCCATGCCTTGTTTTTAATATCTGCTCCAAATCATTTCAGAAAACATGCATGTACATTTTCAGCCCATCCTGCAAATGAGAAATAAATAGTGTAGCTGCTTCCCATTTAATTTTCTGGATTTTCCCTTGCCACATCGACAGATGTAACATTCTCACAACCAGTATTCAAAGGAGGCACACAGTACACTCATCGCTGGACTGTTTCACTTCAGAATGCAAGTGGGGCATCACACTTCTGAAGTCAAAAATTCTCTACGGGTCAGAAGCATTTTCCTAACTCTGTGAAACTCAAAAGTTCACTATTCGGTTGGCTATGATCTGAGAGCCATTGTTTGGGCATCCATCTGCTCCAGAACAATTTCAGCTACCGGAATAATAGTCGCTAAGCAAAGGCACACAATAGCTTCTTAAAACCAGATGCAATTCTCCTTTAGCCCTGGGGTGCATCCTCAATACAGAAGGTATTTGCAGACGTACATGTGTTGATTACTCTTAGGTGCATTGATCCAGTAGATACCTGAAAGAAAGATGAGGCAGCTGAAAAGGGGGACCAAGAAATCTCAGTAGCAGCATATATGACATCAGGTGTGGGGAGGGGTCAAGTTTGACCGGTGGGCCAGAGGTTATCCAACCCTGATTTCCAGTATCTCAGTGGCTGAGCATCTTCTCTGCAAGCACAAGGCCCTGGGCACAATCCTCAGCATCTCCAGATAGGGCTGGGAAACACTCCTGCCTGGAGCCCTAGAGAGTCCCTGCCAGTCAGTGCAGACAAGTGCCGAGCACCACTCATAATACTAATAATTTTATTATTTATACTCTGTCCATCTGGCTGGGTTTCCCCAGCCACTCTGGGTGACTTCCAACAGAACACTAAAAACAGAACAAAACTTCAAACATTAAAAACTTCCCTAAACAGGGCTGCCTTCAGATGTCTTCTAAAAGTCAGATAGTTGTTTACTTCCTTGACATCTGATGGGAGGGCGATCCACAGGGTGGGCGCCACTACCAAGAAGGCCCTCTGCCTGGTTCCCTTCAACCTCACTTCTCGCAGGGAGGGAACCGCCAGAAGGCCCTCAGCGCTGGACCTCAGTGTCCGGGCAGAATGATGGGGGTGGAGACGCTCCTTCAGGTATACTGGGCCGAGGCCATTTAGGGCTTTAAAGGTCAGCACCAACACTTTGAATTGTGCTCGGAAACGTACTTAAACGTAAACTCAGTTTAAGGCGGCTTTCTAGGTCCATTTCAGCAGTGCACTGTGTTGCATTTTATTTTGTGGTACATCACCGTGCAACTCTTGTGCTGAGGGGCAGTATAAAGAACTGCAATAAATACATAGCACAAGAATCGTACAGAGGCAAACCTCACCTCTGTTCTGCTTCAAAGGTCAATCTATCTCTCCACCATCAATTTCCATTATTTCCATGCAACAGTGGAAGTTGGTTGGCTGATATGTGCTGAGTGCACTCAAGGTGTGTACCCGGCTATGCCTACCCCTTCCCCGAACCTTTATTTTTTGATCTGTTGACTGCCAGTGCCATGGGTATCGGAGGGTTGCTCGGTCTTAAAGGCTGTCCAAATTTCTCATACTGCCACGTGGAGTTATCGGTCCATCTCCAGGGCGCTGCTGGATCCTACGGAACAAACAGTGAAAAGAAGAATTAGCATTATGAACCAGGAGACGCCACTGCTTGAGAAAGTCATGAAACACTCCTATACCTACAGAGGTAAGACCCGTTCAGTTCAATCAAACTTAAAGGTAAAGGGACCCCTGACCATTAGGTCCAGTTGTGGCCGACTCTGGGAATGCGGCACTCATCTCGCTTTATTGGCCGAGGGAGCCAGCGTACAGCTTCCGGGTCATGTGGCCAGCACGACTAAGCCTGGCAAACCAGAGCAGCACATGGAAATGTTGTTTACCTTCCCACCAGAGTGGTACCTATTTATCTACTTGCACTTTGACGTGTTTTCGAACTGCTAGGTTGGCAGGAGCAGGGACTGAGCAACAGGAGCTCACTCTGTCGTGGGGATTTGAATTGCCAACCTTCTGATCGGCAAACCCTAGGCTCTGTGATTTAACCCACAGCACCACCTGCGTCCAACCCGCGTTCAGTCGAACTTACTCCCAGGTAATTGAGCCTCACGCGTCAACCCTTTACTCCTTTTCCTGGCAGTAATTCCCGTCGAATTCAGTTGGAATTACTCTAGAATATGCAACTGCAGTGGCAAGAATGTTGTTTTCCCAGAAATGGAAAGAAGAAGAAGTCCCGACGAAAGAAGAATGGATACAAAAACTTACGGAATACGCAAAGATGGTGAAACTTACGAGAAAAATAAGAAATCAAGATAACAAACTTTTTATAAAAGAATGGAAATGGTCTATCAAATATTTACAAATAAACTGTAAACAGATAAGAACATTGGCAAGATTATTATAATAACCTACAGTTTTATAAGCGTATACATTTAAAGGAGATGAATAAATGGTTATGTTAATTTGGACTATGCAGAAAATATAAAAAACAAATTTAAGGAACCACAAAAGAGGGGGAAGTAAGTCGAGTTTTGAAATTATTGTAAAATTATTGAGATATATAAAATTGAAATTCATAAATATTTTTTAAAAAATAATAATTACTCTAAATAGACACATGGAATATTGAACTCTTTAAAGTCACGAGAAGTGAGGTGGGAACATCAATGTCATATACAGTGGTACCTCGGGTTAAGAACTTAATTCATTCTGGAGGTCTGTTCTTAACCTGAAACTGTTCTTAACCTGAGGTACCACTTTAGCTAACGGGGCCTCCCGCTGCTGCCGCGCGATTTCTGTTCTCATCCTGAAGCAAAATTCTTAACCCAAGGTACTATTTCTGGGTTAGAGGAGACTGTAACCTGAAGCGTCTGTAACCCGAGGTACCACTGTACAGGAAGTTATCTAGATATGCCTTTCTGAAGAGCTTTTGAAATTTCCCCGCTCATCTGCCCCAAGTAGACAACTGACCTGAAGAAAACCTTTGATGCATTTTTTCACTCTTTCCCAATCGGGTGCCCACCAGAAGATGCTTCACCTACCACCACCACCACCAGATGTGTTGGCCAAAGTCAAAACTGACTTCCCTCAATACTGAGACAAGTAAATCTGCCACCAGCACTTCCCGTGGTGTAATAAGCTGTGGATGTGAGCAATACTAACAGTGGATCCCGCCCACTCCCTTGTTCTTACATCAGTTCCCTCTGCGCCAATCCAGTAACGCGTCCGTTGCCCCATCAGGTGAAAGATGAAGCTTTGCTCGTCATCGCTATGAACAGAGGCTAGATGGGTACCGAATCTCTCACAGTTCTCCTGATATGAAATAAGAAGAGTAGCATTGGTGGGACTGCAGTCTCTTTCCAGAGCATGAAAAACTTTAAAAAGTCACAGTTTTTTAATCTTGTGGTGTGGTTTCTCTAACTAAATAATCTGTACAAAGGTCCATATGTATTACCTTCGTGTGGTTATATTTGTTGTTTGTAATGTTTAATGGAAATAATGGGGGGAAATCCACACATTAGGAGAAAGCGTGCATAAGAATGCATCTGTTGGTGAAAAATAACATGAAATGCATTAGATGCGGGAAAATACCTAACAAAAATGTGTATTTCAGGCAAAATTGCATACAAAAAAGGTGTTTTTATATTTTGATTTTGTTCTGTGAACTGCCCTGAGACCTCCGGGTATAGGGGAGTATATAAATTCACCAAATAAACTAAAAAAATAAATATTAGGAGAAATTTGCACTACGGTGCTGATGAATTTTCATGAGGATTTTCATGAGTTTTCATTCATTTTAAAAAAGTAACACAAATTGATACAAAAATGTGGATGACTGTGCCTGAGAAAATGATAAACTTATAGAAAGTGAAACTGACAGATTTGTTAATCCATTATTATTATTATTATTATCATCATCATCATCATCATCATCAACAACAACAACTTATTAGTTTTCTTGCAAATGCAAACATTAAAATAATCACAAAACAAAGCAAAGAAAAATCTAAAATATGTCCACATTTTTAAAAGGCAGGATTAAAATATCCCATCCACAAAAAGTTAGGATCACATATGTTTGGATCTCCTAATCTATCCACTGGTGTTTGAAGATTCTTACACACACACACACACACACACACAATGTACCTTAACTGTACTCCAGTCATGAGTGTCGCCTGTGACTGGTAGGTAACAAGCATCTTTGTATTGAAACCAGGCATTGGCACAGCATCCCTGAGTGCAAGGACAAACGAGTCCTGGAAAGGAAGGAAGCAGTTTTCTATGAGAGGACAGGGCAAGGGCAGAACATCTGCTTTGCATGCAGAAAGTCCCAGGTTCAGTCCCCAGCATCTCTAGGTAGGGATGGGAATTTCCGCTGTCTGAAAGCCCTGGAGAGCTTCTGCCAGTCAGTGCAGACAGCACTGGGCTAGATTGACCCGTGGGTTAACTCAGCACCACTCATTTCAGGGGGTGAATTTATGCAAATTTCTTCCTTGAGGGATCTTTTAAAAGGGTGGAAGAGAGAGAGAGAGAGAGAGAGAGAGAGAGAGAGAGAGAGAGAGAGAGATGATAGATAGATCAGTGTTTTTCAACCACTGTTCCATGGCACACTAGTGTGCCGCGAGATGTTGCCTGGTGTGCCGTGGGAAAAATTGAAAAATTTGAAAGATTTTTTTTTATTAAAAAAATGTCAAATTTTCGCCCACTAGGCGGGCGCCGGACTGTGTCCACCCTATTTTCCATCCGTCCTGGGTGGGGATCAGACCGGATGGGATCGGATGAGAGCGGACAGGCGGTCCGCTCTCATCCGATTCCCCATAGAGAGCAGCGGGGCTCTGACATCTCCCTCTCCGCACGGCTCAGCGGGGTCATCCGCCAGCTCAGCGGGGATCAGCGGATCGATCCCCGCTGAGCAGAGAACGGTCCGCAACGTTCGATTCCAGCCAGAATATCAGCTTTGTGTTCAGCCAAACAGGCCCAGGTTGCGCACTGAATAAAGTATTTTATAATTTTTCATATTTCTGTTTACTTACTATTTCATAATAAAGTAATTATAAAATACTTTCTTTGTGTTTATTTGATTCCTATTCAAGAGAATTACTTTATATATAGTCAATATAGGCACAGAGTTAATTTTTTTAACATTTTCTAATGGTGGTGTGCCTCGTGATTTTTTTCATGAAACAAGTGTGCCTTTGCCCAAAAAAGGTTGAAAAACACTGAGATAGATGATAGATGATAGATGATAGATGATAGATGATAGATGATAGATGATAGATAGATAGATAGATAGATATAGATAGATAGATAGATAGATGATAGATAGATAGATGATAGATAGATGATAGATAGATAGATAGATAGATAGATAGATAGATTAGATAGATAGATAGATAGATAGATAGATAGATAGATAGATAGATGATAGATAGATAGATGATAGATAGATAGATGATAGATAGATAGATAGATAGATAGATAGATAGATAGATATAGATGATAGATGTAGATAGATAGATGATGATATAGATAGATAGATAGATAGATAGATAGATAGATAGATGATAGATAGATGATAGATAGATAGATAGATAGATAGATGATAGATAGATAGATGATAGATAGATAGATAGATAGATAGATAGATAGATGATAGATAGATAGATGAAGATAGATAGATGATAGATAGATAGATAGATAGATAGATAGATAGATAGATAGATAGAGATAGATAGATAGATAGATAGATGATAGATAGATAGATAGATGATAGATAGATAGATGATAGATAGATAGATGATAGATAGATAGATAGATAGATAGATATAGATGATAGATGATAGATGATAGATAGATAGATAGATAGATAGATAGATATAGATAGATAGATAGATAGATGATAGATAGATAGATGATAGATAGATGATAGATAGATAGATAGATAGATAGATAGATAGATAGATAGATAGATATAGATAGATGATAGATAGATAGATAGATAGATAGATAGATAGATAGATAGATAGATATAGATGATAGATGTAGATAGATAGATGATGATATAGATAGATAGATAGATAGATAGATGATAGATAGATAGATAGATAGATGATAGATAGATATAGATGGATAGAAAGATAGATGACAGGCAGGCAGGCAGGCAGACAACAAAAGACTTTTGACAGCTGATGTCTTTCTGGTGGTGAGTCTCCCTCCATGGGAACTAAGAAAGTTAGGTGATGATCAGATGAGCTTACTCATCCAGAGTACAGTGGAACCTTGGTTCTCGAATATTTCAGCTCCCAAACACCAAAAATCCGGAAGTAAGCGTTCCAGTTTTTGAACGCTTTTCAGAAGCTAAACGTCTGATGCAGTTGTCGGCTATGGTTTCCAGGGTACCTGCGCCAATTGGAAGCCGTACCTTGGTTTTTGAACGTTTCAGAAGTTGAACTGACTTCCGGAATGGATTATGTTCAAGAACCAAGGTACCATTGTATATGGACCCTGGGCAGATGCATGACCACGCCTAACCCTCAATTCTGGCCCTAACAACTTATTGACTCACAGCAAAATGATACACACAGACCTGGCCTCTCCGTAGATCTGCCATCGTCTTCACCACTGTTCTCAACTCTTTCCATGGAGTCTCCAGAACCTTAGCAGAAAACATCTATTTTCTTTTTTCTTTTTTTTTTGTTATAGTGATTTTTTAAAAAATCATGCAGAAAGAAGAAGAGTAACATATTGGGTTGTATCTACTGTTGGCCCTATTCATAGAAGGCCCACTGGGTGGCATGCAATACTAGTCCTACTCAGAGTTGACCCACTGAAGTTAACAGATATGACTAACTGAGTCTCCTATGAGTCAGACTTAATTGAATACAACCCATTAAAACTGGTGGGCATGGCTGTCAGGTGCATGAATTTCAGTTCTCGACTCCAAGTCGGACTTAGCTGGATACAACCCACAGCCATTAACCCACAAGGAAAAAGAAGAGATTTAACTCTCATTTTAAATGCAATATTTTAAATGCAATATGGTATCTCGTCATCACCAAACTTCTTATTTCACTATTACAGTGGTACCTCAGGTTACAGACGCTTCAGTTTACAGACTCCGCTAACTCAGAAATAGTGCTTCAGGTTAAGAACTTTGCTTCAGGATGAGAACAGAAATCGGGCTCCGGCGGCATGGCAGCAGCAGGAGGCCCCATTAAGTAAAGTGGTGCTTCAGGTTAAGAACAGTTTCAGGTTAAGTACGGACCTCAGGAACGAATTAAGTACAGTGGTGCCCCGCAAGACGAATGCCTCGCAAGACGGAAAACCCGCTAGACGAAAGGGTTTTCCGTTTTGGAGGTGCTTCGCAAAACGAATTTCCTATGGGCTTGCTTCGCAAGACGAAAATGTATTGCGAGTTCCTGCGGGGGTTTTTTCCTCCCCCCCCCTTTTTCCCAAGCCGCTAAGCCGCTTATCAGCTGATCCTAAGCCGCTAAGCCGCTTAACAGCTAAGCCGCTAAGCCGCTTATCAGCTGATCCGCTAAGCCGCTTAACAGCTGATCCTCTAAGCCGCTTATCAGCTGATCCGCTAAGCCGCTTATCAGCTGATCCGCTAAGCCCGCTAAGCCGCTAATAGCGCTAATCTGCTAAGCTGCTAATGGGCTTGCTTCGCAAGACAAAAAAACCGCAAGACGAAGAGACTCACGGAACGGATTCTTTTCGTCTCGCGAGGCACCACTGTACTTAACCTGAGGTACCACTGTATTCTTATTTTTTTATTATCATTAATAATAATATGAGGCAAGCTCACCAAGGACTAGCGACTGAGGAGTGGGGCACAACAGAGGATGCTTTGCCTACCACCCCCATTCCGAAAAACAACCCCAGAGCCATCACTGCCTGTCCTTTCCTGATAGCCTTACCTGCCACCACGGTGCCTGCAATCACCAGAGCGATGGGCAGGAGAACTTGGGCAGGCCACACCACCATCTCTGATGAGGAGGATTTAGGAACGTGGAAGCTCTGCTACGGAGGCAAACGGTGCTGAAAAAGGCAAAACTACTTCCAAACAAACCCCAACCTCTCTCATTTAAAGCACATTGTCCCCCAAAATACCGAGTGGGATGCTGGGAGTGGTAGCTCTGCGAGGGGCAAACTGCAGTCCCTGGAATTCTTTGGGGAAAGCCGTGACTGTAAAAGTGGTATAAATGTCTGTATGGTGTAGATTGTGACCTAAGTTGAGGTGAGGTTTCCTGCAGGGTCCTCCAGCTGAGAAAACTCCTTTTCCCTCCTCTTATGATACCATAAGAGCTAGTGCTAGTGTAAATGGTTTTCGTTTTGTTTTTAAGTGTGACTGGGCTGATCTGCCTTGAAGAACTGTGTGATAATAAGCGGGAAGCCATTGCTTATTTATTTCATTTCAAAACATTTATTAGGCTTGGGGGTAGCATAAGAACAGTAATATAAGATAAATAGAAAATTCTTGGAAGAAATTATTAGGCTTAGGGATAGAATAAGAATATGTGCTAGTAAATATTAAGGATTAGAATAGTAATAAAGGAGAAGAGGTTAGTAAATGAAAGGAGTTAATATTATTGGAAATATGAATTTGGAGAACTGTTAAACAGGTGTTATAATGAAATTCAGTTAGAGGGGATTTGAGGAAGTCAGTCATTAATGTAATGAAATTAGGGATTTGAAGTATTAACTTTTTTATGTCTTTTTTTCTTTGTTCTATGTCTTGTAATGTTTTTCTTTTTTCTTTGTGAAATGTGAAAACCAATATTTTTTAAAACAACAACAACAACCCTGCTCTTCCTTGAAGGAGCTGGGGACAAGGAACCCGTCCACTTCTTCACAACAACCTTATGTGGTTGCTTAAGATGGAAAATAAAAGGATGGGTAAGGCCCTTTACACTCTATATACCAGCAAATTCGGAAAACTCAGCAGTGGCCAGAGGACTGGAGAAGATCAGTCTACATCCCAATCCCAAAGAAGGGCAGTGCCAAAGAATGCTCCAACTACCGCACAATTGCACTCATTTCACACGCTAGCAAGCTTATGCTTAAAATTCTACAAGGAAGGCTCAAGCAGTACATGGACTGAGAACTCCCAGAAGTGCAAGCTGGATTTCGAAGGGGCAGAGGAACCAGAGACCAAATTGCAAACATGCGCTGGATTATGGAGAAAGCTAGAGAGTTTCAGAAAGACATCTACTTCTGCTTCATTAACTATGCAAAAGCCTTTGACTGTGTTGACCACAGCAAACTATGGCAAGTTCTTAAAGAAATGGGAGTGCCTGATCACCTCATCTGTCTCCTGAGAAATCTCTATGTGGGACAAGAAGCTACAGTTAGAACTGGATATGGAACAACTGATTGGTTCAAAATTGGGAAAGGAGTACGGCAAGGCTGTATATTGTCTCCCTGCTTATTTAACTTATATGCAGAATTCATCATGCAAAAGGCTGGGCTGGATGAATCCCAAGCTGGAATTAAGATTGCCGGAAGAAATATCAACAACCTCAGATATACAGATGACACAACCTTGATGGCAGAAAGTGAGGAGGAATTAAAGAACCTTTTAATGAGGATGAAAGAGGAGAGTGCAAAATATGGTCTGAAGCTCAACATCAAAAAAACGAAGATCATGGCTACTGGTCCCATCACCTCCTGGCAAATAGAAGGGGAAGAAATGGAGGCAGTGAGAGATTTTACTTTCTTGGGCTCCATGATCACTGCAGATGGTGACAGCAGTCACAAAATTAAAAGACGCCTGCTCCTTGGGAGAAAGGCAATGGCAAACCTAGACAGCATCTTAAAAAGCAGATACATCACCTTGCCAACAAAAGTCCATATAGTTAAAGCCATGGTTTTCCCAGTAGTGATGTATGGAAGTGAGAGCTGGACCATAAAGAAGGCTGATCACCGAAGAATCAATGCTTTTGAATTATGGTGCTGGAGGAGACTCTTGAGAGTCCCATGGACTGCAAGAAGATCAAACACATCCATTCTTAAGGAAATCAGCCCTGAGTGCTCACTGGAAGGACAGATCCTGAAGCTGAGACTCCAATACTTTGGCCACCTCATAAAAAGAGATGACTCCCTGGAAAAGACCCTGATGTTGAGAAAGATGGAGGGCACAAGGAGAAGGGGACGACAGAGGATGAGATGGTTGGACAGTGTTCTCAAAGCTACAAACCTGAGTATGACCAAACTGCGGGAGGCAGTGGAAGACAGGAGTGCCTGGCGTGCTCTGGTCCATGGGGTCACGAAGAGTCGGACACGACTAAACAACAACAAGGCCCTTTATGGTTCTATGGTTCAGAAAGGATTTGAAGCAAGTATTCTTAAGCCTAGCCTGACACTCTTGGTACATCACACCCAACTGAAGAATGTTTCGCTTGCTGAATTTCTGCCCTGGGGCACAGCTGTTAATAGAGCCCCAGCAGAATAATCAAGAATCTGGTGCAGTTCTGAGCCGAGGCTTTCGCCCAGAATTACATTTCCACGTTGGGGAAGGATTTCACCTGTTTGGCAAACCCTCCAACATTTCACAGAGAATATTAGGGACATCCCAGTTTCAGGACCTCACAGAGTTACAATTCTCATAGTGGTTTAATCTATCCCTTTTTCCAGGGAACTCTGAAAATTGTAGGCAGGTAGGGGGTTCTCCTAGCAACTCTCAGCACCCTTAATAAACTACAGTTCCCAGGATGCTTTGGGGCTACAGCCATGACTGTATCACAATGCTTTAAATGTAAAGCTTGGATGTGGCCACTAGTCACCCACCATATGAATTTGCCCGAAGGTATATAAGTGTCAGTTAGGGGATTACATGCAAATTAAAATTAGCACCTGCAGTTTTGTGTCATGGGCCTGCATCCCAAGTCCTTAATTTTTTAAAAAAATCATTTTTATTGATTTTCCAATAAAAAACATCCAATTAATATATCCAATCATAACACTCCAATTAAAATAAAAAACTAAAATTAAAAAACCAAATTATAGTCCAAATTATAATTATTAATTTTTCAGAGCTCCATACGGTCTGGATCTCTGAAGCATATCTCCACATCTCAGTCCTGCCTCTCCTCGATATTTCCATATTTCCCCACATCTCAATTTTGACACTTTATAATTCTCCATCCCTGAGTCCACGTCCCAAGTCCTTTAAATAGGTACAAAAGGTCATGGCACCCCATCCCAAAACGCATGCCGTATACCTGATGGTCTAAGTTAGATGCTTCCACTCGGTAGCTGGATGGTTTTCCAGGGAACAGCCTCTCTGCTGGGTTGCATTTATACACTAGGAGCAGCTGTGTTTGCTATGCCACTGATACAGAACAGCAGCATTAAAAGAAATGGGAAAATTGGGCCAATTTCGGGGGTCCTTTGTTGTTGCTCTTCCACTCAGTATCGGGTAACACGGTGGATAAACTACCGGTAGTTGAATGGATTGTGGACATCAAGCATGAAGCATGTTCTGTAAATACATTTGCGACTATCTAAAGGAACTTCTCCTTTGCGATGGACCCACGCGGGTGTTAAGATTGGCAGAAGATAGCAGACCCTCGAAGTGGACCGAAAGTTTAAGATAATCACATTTTCTTATTTATGTAAATGGCAAGTGGAAAATCAGAAGTTCCCCTTTTGTATTTTTTGCTAATGTTTCTTTTCTTTTGCTTTCTTTTATCTTTCTCTTTCCTCACTTTATTTCTCTTGTCCCTTTCTTTTCTCCTTTGTTTTGTACTTTTGTACATGCAATTTTACTGTGTTATGGGGAAATCTCGATTAAAACATCTTATTAAAAAAGAAAGTGGTTATTATTGCAATTTGTAAATGGAATGAAATAGATAAATAAACATAGCAAATGCATAATAGATATAAATTGGCCCAAGTCCACCTTTCCTGATCTCAATGTTGTGAAAAGCCAGGGTGGGGGGTTGATAAAATAAAATTATTATTTATTTATTTATTCATTTATTTATTCATTCATTATCCCTGCCCATCTGTCTGAGTTTCCCCAGCCACTCTGGGTGGCTTCCAACATAACATTAAAAACACAATAAAACATCAACCATTAAAAACTTCCCTAAACAGGGCTGCCTTCAGATGTCTTCTAAAAGTCAGATAGTTGTTTATTTCCTTCACATCTGATGGATGGGAGGACGTTCTACAGGGCGAGCGCCGCTACCAAGAATGCCCCCTGCCACAGTGAGGGAACTGCCAGAAGGCCCTTGGAGCTGGACCTCAGTGTTAGGATGGAGGACAGGACGAGGTGAGGACAGACTGAGGTTGATGGGGAAGTGCCCAATTTGCCCACCTCCACTGAGGACCTCTGATTGGGTGTGTAGCCTTTGGCCTGCCGGATGTTCCTGAGCCACAACTCCCCTCATCCTAGGCCATTGGCCATGCTTGCTGGGGCTGATGGGAGTTGTAGTACAGCAGCACCTGTCAAGCCAAAGGTGTCCCCCACACCTGCCTTCGATGAAAGGTCTTGGCAAAGGGAAGTCTCTCTTGGTTGAAAACAGCTTGGAAATCTGACCCTGACCTGACCTGACCTCATGGAAGACTGCATAAAACACTAAGCAAATAATGAAATCTGCTAATGGAAAAAAAATGTTTGCTATCAGGCTTTGTTCCTGTATTCTAGACCTTCTAATGGGAAGCAGGTGCTGAGCAGGAGCAATTATTTATGTTTGCTAATGGGACGTCAGGCAGTGGCAAGAAACCACCTTCCTTTCTCCTGTCCAAGGGTAGGGCAAGCATGAAAGTCAGGCATGGGTTGGGAGGTGAGGCAGAATCACAATTGCAAGACGAGTTTCTACATGAGAACTAGCCCTTTTGAATTTATATTCAGTGAAACGTTAAGAAGCAGAATAAGGTTGTGTCCCTCAGTGTGTTTAGGGCAGCAAAAACAACAATTTTAAAAGGCTGTTGCACAAATCGGAGGTAGGAGGGTTCCCGAGTGTCTCAAAAGTCAAGAGACCTGCAATTCTGAGCTGGGCTGGCCACTTTTTTGTATTTCTGTTATTTCTCTCTTTTTTTCAGGTGTTTACACACACACACACACACACACACACACACACACACATATATTCCATTTTATAATATACATTCGCATCATAACACTCCACTTTGCGTCCCTGGCTCTTTAGAGTCTGTCAACTTCCTTCCCTCCTGCCTCATGGCTTTCAAAATTAGCCTTTATATCATTGCATTTTGTACGTTTTCCAGTTCTAATTACACACATTACAAAATAACTCAAAATTTAAATAAATATAGAAAGGTAGAGAATTTCTCATTACAAGTCTTCAGACAACCCTGCTAGTGATGTCAATTGCTTACAATAATCTTTCAGATATCGTATAAATTTACTCCAGTCCTTTTGGAATGCTTGATCTTGCCAGTTTCGGATTTTTCCTGCCAGCTTCGCCAGTTCTGCAAAGTCCGTTATCTTCTGTTATTTCTATTGGTTTTATTTACTTCAGTAAAATCTTTCTCTAATTTTTTTTTTAAAAAAAACAGAGCAGCTTACAAACACAATATGAACACTAACACAAAGAAACACACGTCGTAGAATTGTAGAGTTGGAAGGGACTTCAAGGGTCTAGCACAGGCATCCCCAATTTTCTTTCTTTCTTTTTTTTAATGATATTTATTAAAGTTTCAGAAAAGATTACAAAAAGAAAAAGAAAAAAAAGAAAAAAGAAAATACAAAATACAGAAAAGTAAAAACAGTTAAGAACAAATCAATCTTTCCATGTCTTGTCTTTCATTTACTTGTTTCCCTGTCCTCTTCACACCTCCCTTTTTTGTATTCCAGTTCAGTTAGTTAATTCAGCAAATCCTTTCCCTCTTTGTTTTTATCTTAATCCTTTATCTTAATATATTATACCTTTAGATTCTCACCTGTTAACAATCCATTTTTACATACACCTTTGTAACATTGCTACTAAAACCACTTAACTTCATTCCGACATCATTCTAACATTCACAGGCATCCCCAATTTTCAGCCCTCCAGATGTTTTGGACTACAATTCCCATCATCCCTGACCACTGGTCCGGTTCGCTAGGGCTCATGGGAGTTGTAGGCCAAAACATCTGGAGGGCCACAGGCTGGGGATGCCTGATCTAGCACAACCCCCAGCAATGCAGAAGCAGGGAGGAGTCCCATAGGGGAATCAAACTTATGACCTTGGCATTATCAGCGCCACACTCTAACCACACTCTATCACTCAGTCTACTGATCCTGGGACACAGACAAGCCTCCTGTTCTTAGAGGAATTTCACTCGTGTTCCTTAAGACATCCGGGGGGGGGTGGGAAAGGTCTTTCGATTTGAATGAGCGGCCTTCAATTGTGTCGACAAAACACTCCTTTGGGTGGTCTGTACTGCTGCCTTCCGGCTTCGCTGAGCTTTGCAACCTGGTGCCATTATTTGTGCCGCCCTTTCTTCCACGGCTCAGGAGACACCCGATCACCCCCTTGCCCATTCAGATGGAAGCTCCCCTCTCACGGACACTTGCCAAGCCGTAAGCGCAGCAACCCCTGGGCATACATGTCTAGATATCGGGAAAACTCGCTTGGCATCTCGTGAACTCCCTGCTTGGGCAGCCTGTTGTCGTAGTAATGGTGGAGAATGGGCTGGTTCTCCAGGTCGTGTTGGAAAGGCCAGAATCCGTAGAGAGTGATGCGCTCGCACAACTCCAGAGCCATACTAGTGAACATGAAGCCGGAAGAGAGGCGTTTGGGCCCTAAGCCCCTCGACTTCCAGTAGCTACCCAGTGGGGCCAGGTAATGGGGGTTCAGGAACAGAGCTCTCTGAGCCAAGCCAAAGTCCTCCATGGTATACAGGGCACGGTAGCTGACATCGGTGTGTCCCACGAAGGAGAAGGCAGGAATGAGGAAGAAAGCGCCCCCATAAAGGCGCAGGGAATCGGCAAAAGGCTTCCGGCGGTCCGACAGTCTTTGGAAGCTGCAGGAGATGGAGAAGGAACAAAACAATCAAGCCACGTTCTTCTAATAAACAGCTCTTGTTTATTCCCAGGCCAGAACAGAACTGAACTGAAGGGTTCAGCTAGCCTGCTTATATAGAGCTCCACTAGAACGCAACAGTAACCATTTTCTGTAACTATCCAATCACTGAACGTCACTTTTGATCCCTTATTTGCATATGTGGACCTGAACTATCTACAGTATCCCCCTGCTGGCCCAGGGTGAGAACTTCAGTACATAACAGGTACTGTGAACTGCAAGAAGATCAAACGTATCCATTCTGAAGGAAATCAGCCCTGAGAGCTCACTGGAAGGACAGATCCTGAAGCTGAGACTCCAAGACTTTGGCCACCTCATGAGAAGAGAAGACTCCCTGGAAAAGACCCTGATGTTGGGAAAGATGGAGGGCACAAGGAGAAGGGGACGACAGAGGAAGAGATGGTTGGAGAGTGTTCTCGAAGCTACCAGCATGAGTTTGACCAAACTGCGGGAAGGCAGTGGAAGACAGGAGTGCCTGGCGTGCTCTGGTCCATGGGGTCACAAAGAGTTGGACACGACTAAACAACTGTGAACTGTAGCTGTGCGAGAAGGATACTACAGTTCCCAGAGTTCTTTGGGGGAAGTCGTGGGCTTTAAATGTGCGCTTGATGAGCACATTTGGGGTTGATCTGCCCTACGGCACATTTAATGCATACAGCCTCCCACAAATCCTCTAACTGTAGTTTATCTCTCACACAGCACAATTCCCAGCACCATTAATTCATTCATACTTTTCAAGTTTATACATTGCACTAATTGAACAACCATTTTGGCATTTCAAAACTTGACTTCCTTCCCACTCTTCCTGCAGTTCCTTGAATTTATTTTTAATATATTCTGCATATCCAAATTAACTCAATTTGTTCATTTGTTCATCTTCTTTAAATATGTACTCTTATCCACTGCAAGTTATTACAATGATCCTGCCAATGTTTTTATCTGTTTATAGTTTATCTGTAAATATGCAATAAGCCATTTCCATTCTTTTGTAAAAGATTTGTTATCTTGATTTCTTATTCTTCCGTAAGTTTCGCCATTTCTGCATATTCCACAAGTTTCTGTATCCATCCTTCCTTTGCTGGGACTACAATTCCTAGCACCCTTAGCAAACTACAGCTCCCAGGATCCTTTGTGGGGAGCGGTTGTGTTTTTCATGTGTGGTGTGTGGGCATGGCCATAATTATCCTTTGGGTTTCATGAAGTATTTGAAATGTTTACACAGGATAAAACATGTTTTCATACACCTAGGTAAAGGTAAAGGGACCCATGACCATTCGGTCCAGTCGTGGCCGACTCTGGGGTTGCGGCGCTCATCTCGCTTTATTGGCCGAGAGAGCCGGCGTACAGCTTCCGGGTCATGTGGCCAGCATGACTAAGCCACTTCTGGTGAACCAGAGCAGTGCACGGAAACGCCATTTACCTTTCCGCCGGTGCGATCCCTATTTATCTACTTGCACTTTGACGTGCTTTTGAACTGCTAGGTTGTCAGGAGCAGGGACTGAGCAACGGGAGCTCACCCCCTCACGGGGATTCGAACCACCGACCTTCTGATCAGCAAGCCCTAGGCTCTGTGGTTTAACCCACAGCGCCACCCGCAAATGATGTATTTAACAACAAATCTTAAATACACAGGAGCACCGAGTCAAACCATTGGCCTCTCTAGCTTAGTAATGCCTGCACTGACTGGCAGGGGCTCTCCAGGGTTCTAGGGAGGAGCTCCTGCCAGCCCTACCTGGAGATGCCAGGGATTGAACCCAGGACCTGCTGCATGCAGAGCAGGAAGCACTGGCCGCTGGGTGCAGCTTTGTTACTGCTTCCTACAACTGCTTAAACCAGGGGTCAGCAAACTTTTTCAGAAGTTGGGCGGTCCACTGTCCCTCAGACCTTGTGGGGGGCCAGACTATATTGGGGGGGGGGGAATGAACAAATTCCTATGCCCCACAAATAACCCAGAGATGCATTTTAAATAAAAGGACACATTCTACTCATGTAAAAACACGCTGATTCCTGGACTGCCCGCGGGCCGGATTTAAAGGCAATTGGGCCAGATCCGGCCCCCGGGCCTTAGTTTGCCTACCCATGGCTTAAATTATGACACAGCCAGCGCATTCTCAGATCTTTCCCTTACTTTTCATTAAGGATGCTGGGGTTTAAAGTCACCAGGTCTGACTTGGTTCCCACGTCTTCAGAGAAATTCATGGGAGGCAGGTTGAATCTGGATCAGAGGGAGAAAGTGGAAAAACAGAATCAGCTCTCGTGCAACCGTTGGGGAACTCTCATTCAGACAGGCTTCATGGAGAATCTAGGCAACGAAACTGCCAACACATCACATTCCAGGGCTCTGCGTGCTATCCCTGCATCTATTTTTCAGGCCTGAATTGTGAAGGTTTCTTTTTTTCCTTTTTAAATTTTTTTATTTATACCTTTCAAATTTATACATTTCACTGATTTTACAATCATTTGGACATTTCAAAACTTGACTTCCTTCCCCCACTTTCTGCGGATCCTGATTTTTAAAAAAATATATATTCTGCATATCCAAATTAACTCAATTTGTTCATTTATTCATCTTCTTTAAATATATACTCTTATGAAACTGCAGGTTATTACAATGACCCTGCCAATGTTTTTATCTGTTTACAATTTATCTGTAAATATTCAATAAACCATTTCCATTCTTTTATAAAAAGTTTGTTATCTTGATTTCTTATTTTTCCAGTAAGTTTCGCCATTTCTGCATATTCCATAAGTTTTTGTATCCATTCTTCCTTTGCTGGGGCTGCTTCTTCTTTCCATTTTTAGGCAAGTCACATTATTGCCGCTGTGGTCGCATACATGAATAAGTTTCTAAACATTTCAGGTAGTTCTGTCCCTATAATTCCCAAGAGAAAAGCTTCTGATTTTCTTTACAAACCTTATTTTAAACATCCTTTTCATTTCATTATATATCTTTTCCCCCTTTTCTTAAAACCCAACAGCAGTTTCAGGCCGTCCAGTGTAGACTCACACAGTAGTATTGATGCTTTCCCAATCTACCGTTTCTTTAACAGCTTCCCTCTTTTAATGGAGCTTCTACCTTTGTATTCAGTTGCTTCCTGTTCACTGACTGCAGCATTCCTAAATCAGCTGCTAAACTGGCAGTTCTGTTCTATGAAGTACGTTTCTCTCTCTCTCTCTCTCTCTCTCCCTCTCTCACTCTCTGACTCGGTGCTTTCCTCTTTGCAGCCAATTGCTCCTTTGTTGTCTACTTTTTAAGTGTATTTAAATGAGCAATTGCTCTGGAGGGAAAGAAGAAGCCAATAATGAAAGGTTTAGCTCCTGCAAGAGACATTACTAACTAATGAACGGTGAATTTAGGAATGCAAAGACCACAAGTGAACAGGAACAAGAAGATTCAAGGAGCAGAACTCTGCCCAAGACCTTGGAGGTGTGCTGCCGGTCAGTGTTGATGACACTGGGCTACATACATGGGCTCAGCATTAGGCTGCTTCCAATATTAGAAACATAGGGAGCCCCCTTAAACCAGGGCCAACCACCTGTCTATCTACTTCAATAATGTCTACTCGGACTGGCAGCAGCTTTCCACAATCTCAGGCATGGGTGGATCTTTCCCATTGCCTTTAAAACATAGCTGTCAAGTTACAGATTTGAAAATAAGGGACCAGCAGCCTCGAAAATAAAGGATCAGCAGCCAAAATAAGGGATTTTCCAAGCACAGGTATGTTCAATTTCTGAGCCCCTCCAAGCCAAAGGCAAAAAGCCCAGCCAGCAGCCAAACGAAGCCTCAAGCGGTGGTTCCCACAGCGCAGCAACCCGGCAAAGGGGATGCAGCAAGGGAAACCACCGTCACCTCTCTGCTGGGAAGCGCTGAGCAACGGTGAGTCCCCAGGCAACGTGGCCGATTGGTCGGCACAAGGCATGCAAGCTCCACCCCCCAGTCGTTCTTAGACTCCTTATTGGGTGAGCAACGCAGCCAAGCAACACAGTTGGAGCCTCCCTCCTCCCTCGCCGGCAGGGAGGGAGGGAGGGAAAGGAGCTGCTTCCTTTGAAACCCAGGAAATTTAAGGGACATCATCAATAAGGGACAGCAGCGGGACACGGCGCTGAGATAAGAGACTTTCCCGCCAAATAAGGGACGGTTGACAGCTATGCTTTAAAACTGAAAATAGCAGGGGCATTCCGTATGCAAAGCATGAATTTTACCACTTGGCCCAAATGCTCTTTTAAAATAATTGGGAAACTGCCAGTTAAAAGGCTAGTTGCAAGGAGAAGTAGGGTTTTTGCAGAATGTTACTTACTTCTGAGTAAAACAAAACAAAAAAACCAAGGCCACCTGGGAATAAACACTGTAAAAGGACCCCATATTATTTGTGATTCCCACCAGTTTGCAGTGCCACCAGTTTCCCTCAAAAAGGAAGAAGAAATAAGTTACCTGATTACTAGATCTGCCCGGTCAATCTCCTGACCACAGCTGCTGTTTCGTAGAATCCCACCATTGCCCACTACAGCACAGTGCCTATACTGGGAGTCTGGGAAGGGTGACCTCTAGATTTTTGGGAGTGCAGGAGAGAAATAATCTTAATAAAAACATACAAAAGAAATATTGGCTTAGATCACCAGGATTCTGTTACCCTTTAACTCAGGAGTGGGAAATCATTTTCATGTATAAAAATATTGATAGGACGCTGTGTCATAAAAATATATCACAGCATTTTACAATAATATAAAAGCGTAAAGCCAAACAATAATGTCATAAAAAGTTAAAAACTAAAAGCAAACATTCATAAACCATTACAGTATGGGTGGATGCACTCTGAATTTCCTGCATAGGCCTAGCAGAACAGAAAAGTTTCCAGCAGGCATTTAAAAGTTGACACATAATTCACTTGGTGAATCTCTCGTGGCAGAGAGTTCCACAGGACTAGGTTGAGGACACTAAAGGCTCCGTTCCAAAACCAGGTCTAAACCCAGATTGTAGCATACCTGCCAAGTGCCCCTGGGGCAAAAAATGGACAGCCCGTTTTTTCACGCAAGATTGCAGCAGCCATTTTGGGTGCAAATGCCCCCACCCCCACCAAAAAAAGGACTTTTTCAGGGTGGGAGTGAGGCACAGGTCACGTGACTCACTCCCGGAAGACGCACAACCCAGCTTTGGGTCTCCAAAAGTTGGACAAATTTGTCTAGGCAACCCCAGTCTTCCCGGGATGCCAGCTCCACAACCACCTTTGCCAAGAAAGGGATACTGGCAACTGGTTCATGGGTGTTACCCTCCATTGGGTCTACGATGGGCTTTTTGAGTAACAGATTCACCACGGCCTTAATAATAATAATAATAGTTTTATTATTTGTACACCGCGCATCTGACTGGGTGTCAGGTGCCATTCCCTCATGCAAGGATGTGTTGACCACACCTTTGACCCCTTTAGTCACCCCACCCTGGCTAGCTTTAATAAGTCAGGATGGAAAAGGAATAATAATAATAATAATAATAATAATAATAATAATAATAAATTTTATTTATACCCCGCCCTCCCCAGCAAGACCAGGCTCAGGGCAGCTAACAACCAATAATAAAAGCAAGTTGACTGAAACACAACTTAAAAAACAAGATTAAAAATACAACATTAAAATGCAGCCTCAATTATTATTATATTTTATTTATGCCCCACCTATCTGGCTGGGGTCTAATGAGCAGGTGGTTGAGTGCATCACTGCAAGAATCTTTTGCACATCCCCAGGATGTATTAACTAGAAACGATCCCACAAAAACAGGGTTCATAGGTAGCATCAGGTATATAGGGCAGGTTGGTATGGACCGCAAGGGGAAGCCTGGCAGGCCAGGGGAGACCTGTGAGCCAAAGGTTCCTCTGCCCAGTTTAAACAAGAGAGACCAAGGATTGAACCTTCTGTACTGGCATGTGCTCTGGGTTGTGGCTCTTTTCCCCCCACCCCAAATACCCCCCCCCACACCTCTGGCAGCAAATCCACCAGCTTAGCGCTCGCCGGAAACGCCTTTCCTTTCATTCCGTCAAAGGTGATGCTTGATCCCAGCGGGGTGTTTTCCTTGGTCAAGACTATTGAGAAGGAAGCATTGCAACATTGGCCCAGTTCTGCCCTGCAAATGGGAGGAGAGGTGGATTAGGGTGACGATGTGAAGGAAATAACTGACGCTTCCCCAAAGCCCTTTGTGGCAGGTGGGGCAGGGGGTTGCCCCATACAAAGAGATGAAGTCACTCTAAGCCTCATCAAGGGGAGATCATTTATGGACTCTATGCGTGCTCAGGATGGTGTTGCCTTCCTTCTGAAGATCTGTAGTCCGGCTCCATCCCTGCAGTCCTCTGCCTCTGAACACTAGTTACTGAGAATCACAAGAGGATTCTGTTTGCAGGCTTCCCACAGGCATTGGGTTGGCCACTCTGAGAACAGGGACCTGGATTAGACGAGTCTTTGGCCTGATCTCTTCTGATGGTTTTATGTTAAGTGACCTCAGCGACGAGGTGCGCCACTTTTACCAGCTGTCCATGGAGGCGAAGGTCAGTTCTGTGTCCAAGGCAGCTGACTACCAGCTCCATCTGGTATGCCAGCTGACACCCTACCTGCCCGCGGACTGTCTTGCCAGAATGGTGCATGCTCTGGTTATGTCCCACTTGGACTACTGCAATGTGGTCTACGTGGGGCTACCTTTGAAGGGGACCCGGAAACTACAACTAATCCAGAATGCGGTAGCTAGACTGGTGACTGGGAGTGGCCGCTGAGACTATATAACACTGGTCCTAAAAGACCTACATTGGCTCCCAGTATGTTTCCAAGCACAATTCAAAGTGCTGGTGCTGACCTTTAAAGCGTGAAATGGCCTTGGCCCAGTATACCTGAAGGAGTGTCTCCACCCCCATCGTTCTGCCCGGACACTGAGGTCCAGCTCCAAGGGCCTTCTGGCGGTTCCCTCAGTGTGAGAAGTGAGGTTACAGGGAACCAGTCAGACGGCCTTCTCGGTAATGGCGCCCACCCTGTGGAACGCCCTTCCATCAGATGTCAAGGTAATAAACAACTATCTGATTTTTAGAAGACATCTGAAGGCAGCCATGTTTAGGGAAGTTTTTAATGTTTGAAGTTTTATCGCATTATTATTATTATTATTATGTTGGCAGCCGCCCAGAGTTGCTGGGGAAACCCAGCCAGATGGGTGGGGTGTAAATAATAAAATTGTTGTTGTTATTACCAGCTTTGTCCATTCTTGGACAGGAAGCTAGCTTGTCTACGGTAGTCTAGGCACTTGTTGTAATATACAGTTACTGACTCACACTTCCGTGCATGAAGGAGTTAACCTGAGCTCAGATAGCCAGTGGGGGTAGAGCTTAGCAGGCTCCCTGCAGCCTTTTGTTTCTTCCCTCCCATTCTTCCCTTTTCTCTTCATGCTTTCTGGAACAAGCAAAGAAGGAGCCGTGTGCCTAAGGCCCCCAACAGCAAAACAACAACAACAACCCAACTGAACTGAAGGGAGATTTTACAGCCTGCATCTTTGCTAACCCAAAGATTGCATGAGACTTTTTGTGCAGAAACAAAGTACTTTTCTTTTAAAGTCTTTTGGAACCTTTTTCATCTTTGTTTTACCATCAACAGATAGAAGACTTGTTTAATGTAGCTTCTAGAAATGCTGTGAGTAATCTATGTGATTTATTCCAGCCTAGGTATTTTCATGCAGAATGTTTGTTCAAAGGATGGGGGGCAGGTGAAAAATCTAACCAAGTTTAAATGTGCTTGGAGCAATCACCATTGTGCCTAACTCTGCTACGAGTGAGTAAAGATCTCTCTCCCAAACCTCTGTCTAGAACACCGGTAACCTTTGAGACTGGATTACTGTAACATGCTCCATGTGGAGCTTGTGGGGTTGGTCTGGGAACTGCTGCTAATGCTTCTGGCTGGAGGGTCTAACAACGGCATATACAACCATTGCTGTCTGTCTTTCCAGGTGTCTCTCCAAACAGGTGAGTGGATGGCTTTACCTGTATTGGGCCATTGCTGCAGGATTGGGTTCCCAAGGGCACTCCTGAGTGAGTAGCACATGCTCCAGAATGCCCTTATCTTTTTGAGGAAGTTTCCACGTTTTGACAACACGAACCCGCTTCTCATCGCTGGCTGTCTTGCTGAATTGAGCACTGCCAGCAAGAGAGAGAGAGAGAGAGAGAGAGATTACCAACGACTAATTTCAGAGTTCATCCCTTTTTCTGTATGAACCTAAGTGGACCCCAGGATCATCTTCTGAGGCCCTACTTCTTTGTTTGCTTCCTCCACAAGAGGCCCCGGGGGCTGGAAGTCATGCTTCTTCAGGGAAGTAAAGAAATTTGGCAATAACAGATCTCACAACAGAGAGGTGCCCCAAGATTGTGGAGGCCCGGGGTGTGAACGTCTCAAGCAAATATAGAGGGGGGCCGAGATGCTTTTTGTCGTGGAATTCTACTCAAAATGGTCCAGAGCAGAACTCCGACGTATGGTTAGCAGAGTAAAAACTTAAACACGTTGCAGGATTCCCCCCTCAAAATAGACCAGAGGCAATTGTATTTCATCCAGCAGAGCTTTACTGCTACTGAAGGCAAATGAGCAGAATGGTCACAAATCCAATACATTCAGGACTGGCACTGTCCATAAGAAATCCAGTTGCAGCAGACTTAACTTTGATGCGGAAGGGGGGGGCATGTCTTCTTCACCTTCTTCTTCGCTACAATATATCCATTTATTTCCGAGTCCAATTGCCAATGTCAAAAGGGACTAAAATCCATAAAATTCATAGAAAATCAATGTGCCAATTTGCTCAATTTCTCTAGGACTCCGTGATACCTCCCCTGTCCTCCATAATCCCTCAAGCAAGGTGTCACGTACTCTCAGGAAGACCCTAATCCTGTCAAATCACTCTGCCAAGCCTTTCCTCCGGGCAATGCCAGGTGGCAGACTATGCATACATGGACCATTATCTTCTCATCACCGGTACTCAGGATGTGCTTATCTGCGCATATCTCCAGCTCTGCATATTCCCCCTCCCTCAGTTAAAACGTTACTCAGGTCTGATTGGGCTCAATAAATCTCTTTCAGTAAGCAGCCCCACCTTTATCCTTCAGTCATCCTGTAAGTGTAGTTTTGCCCTCAGGTAATATCACACATTTCAGAGTGCGCACAATGGTCACAACAAAAAGAGATAGAAAGAGAAAGTGAAACCAAGGCTCCTTCTGACCTTACTATTATAGTCAGATAAGAGAACCAGTTTAAGCCAGCTTCTCTGAAGGAATAACTCAAACATCTTGAACCTTCTGCTTGTTTCGTTCACACAGAGAAGCTTCCAGAGCCCTCTTGAATTAAGCAGAATAGGAAAGATCTCTACACATCTGATCGATACTTTCTGTACTAAGAAATGCAAATTGACACCTTTGACCCCCCTCAGTTGGCGCGCCTCAAGTTGACGCGCCAGACACAACTAAAGATTTTCTGCCTTTCCATGACACCCCAAATCAGCTGCCTCTCTCTGCCCAACAGTGAGGCCTGCCAGTCCAACCAGAAAGACTCACCTCTGAGAGAATTCCCTTACTTCAAATAACCGATTCAATTCCCGGCACTTTGATAATTGTCCTAATTTAGTCTTCTCTCTGTGGGGGGGAAGAACCACACACAGCGCTGGGATTAATTTCAGAGCTTGTGGTTGCTACAGACTCTGCTGAAGCCTATTTGCACTTCATTGTTAAAACAGCTCAAGTTTTTTAAGAAGGCTCTCAGAGCTGATTGTCTACAGGTTTTCCTCTTGTTAAAAAATTACAGTGGTGCCTCGCAAGACGAATGCCTCGCAAGACGAAAAACATGCAAGACGAAAGAGTTTTCTGTTTTTTGAGTCGTTCCGCAAGACGAATTTCCCTATGGGCTTGCTTCGCAAGACGAAACGTCTTGCGAGTTCTTGCGAGTTTGTTTCCTTTTTCTTAAAGCTGCTAAGCCGTTAATAGCCGCTAAGCCGCTAATAGCCACTAAGCTGCTAATAGCCGTGCTTCGCAAGACGAAAAAAACTGCAAGACGAAGAGACTCGCGGAACGGATTAATTTCGTCTTGCGAGGCACCACTGTATAAGGTCTAAGATATAAAATAAATGTTCATAAATGTATAAGGCAAACACATACATAAGTATATAAACCATGTGTCTGAAATAGTACAGGAGAACAATCCTGAAGCCATTTGACTCTCCCAAATTGACCTCAAATATTTCTCTGCAAGGAGGAAGGAAATGGGAAAAGCTTTCCAATTGTCTTTGGACTGTAGGGGCTTACACCTACAAATATCTGTTAAACTGAGCACACTATCAATATGCGTAAGAGATTCAGGAACTAAGTATTTACCATCACAAAGAATGGCCAGGATGCCCAGGTAAAAGCAACCAGTGACCATTATCAGGTATCCTGGCAGACAGGTTTTCTGCTGTAGACCGCCCTTTCAGTGATGTATGTATGATGTATTGCGGGGTGGCCTTGAGCTACAGGGTGGCAATTTCAAAAGTCTATATAAGAGCTTGCACACCAATGTTCTGGGTTCCTTCTCCCTCCTGCGGGGGGGGGGGTGAGCACCCTGTTGCAACAGCTTAATAAAGATCAGGCTTACTAGCTGCTTTACTTCTCAATATTCTCTGGTTGGCCTCTGTTGTGTTCTCCTACTGATAGGGAACCTACATAAGGACTCTATACGGGCTCTTGGGTACCCCATAAGGGGAAAAAAGCAGTTTGTTTTCTTATAAAACTCTACAACATGTGGGTGGGTGGCGCTGTGGGTTAAACCAGAGCCTAGGACTTGCCGATCAGAAGATCGGTGGTTCGAATCCCCGCCATGGGGGGAGCTCCCGTTGCTCGGTCCCTGCTCCTGCCAACCTAGCAGTTCAAAAGCACATCAAAAGTGCAAGTAGATAAATAGGTACGGCTCCAGCAGGAAGGTAAACGGCGTTTCCGTGCGCTGCTCTGGTTCGCCAGAAGCGGCTTAGTCCTGCTAGCCACATGACCCGGAAGCTGTACTCCGGCTCCCTCGGCCAATAAAGCGAGATGAGCGCCGCAACCCCAGAGTTGGTCACGACTGGACCTAATGGTCAGGGGTCCCTTTACCTTTACTTTATATATATATGGGGGTGCTTGCCTCGGTGGATGTCTCAGGCGGCCTGGCTATCTCTGATACTGTTTGACATTTCAAAAAAGCACTCAAAACTATGCCCTTCCCAGCCCACCTTCCCAAAGAACCCAGATAACTCACCTGGTTGCCCTCTGTAGCAGCGAAAGAGTGAGACTAACAAGGAAAACCACGCAGACAGTCAGCGCTAAGCTCTGCTTCCGAAGCCGTAAATTGAAGGACATGTTACAGAAAGACAGAGTCGAGACCAGAACTGTTTGTCGCCCGGGTTCATCTGGAGTCTGCTGCTTCGTTAGGTGTGCCCCGAACAGCTGCTGCCGAGGTAGGCATCAAAACGCATCAGGATGAGGAACAAGAAATGTGAGAAACACCTGAAGCAAATGCAAAGGCAATGAAAAGAATATAAGAACAGTCTTGTATTATATTCAGCATATACGTATCTAAAATAAGCTGCGTCGGTTACGATGTGTAAACAAAATTAAGCAAAAGGATAATATAAACCAGAAGACAGGCTGGTAGATAAATATCTGCTTAAACAGCTCAGTTAAAACGTTACTCACATTTGATTGGGCTCAATAAATCTCTTTCAGTAAGCAGCCCCACCTTTATCGTTCAGTCATCCTGCAAGTGTGGATTTGCCCTCAGGAAATATCACACATTTCAGAGTGCGCACAATGGTCACCACAACTTTTGTTGGCATAAGGAGTAGACAGTGTCAGATTTACATATGGGCTGAGTGGGCTGCAGCCCAGGGCCTCATAATTTAGAGGAGACTCAGCCTCTAGACAGCATCTTGAAAAGTAGAGACATCACCTTGCCAACAAAGGTCCGTATAGTAAATGCTATGGTTTTCCCAGTAGTGATGTATGGAAGTGAGAGCTGAACCATAAAGAAGGCTGATCACCGAAGAATTGATGCTTTTGAATTATGGTGCTGGAGGAGACTCTGGAGAGTCCCACGGACTGCAAGAAGATCATACCTATCCATTCTGAAGGAAATCAGCCCTGAGTGCTCACTGGAAGGACAGATCGTGAAGCTGCGGCTCCAATACTTTGGCCATCTCATGAGAAGAGAAGACTCCCTGGAAAAGACCCTGATGTTTGGAAAGATGGAGGGCACAAGGAGAAGGGGACGACAGAGGACGAGATGGTTGGATGGTGTTCTTGAAGCTACCATCATGACTTTGACCAAACTGCAGGAGGCAGTGGAAGACAGGAGTGCCTGGCATGCTCTGGTCCATGGGGTCACGAAGAGTCGGACACGACTAAACGACTAAACAACAACAACGGCCTCTTGTCATTAAAAAACAAACAGGCAGATTTTACTATCTAGAATCATAGAACTGCAGAGCTGGATGGGTCCAAAGGGTCATCTAGTCCAACCCCATGCAATGCAGGAATCACAGCTAAAGACAGTCTAGGAAGCTGCCTTGAATCTCAAGCAGAGTCTCAAGCAAAGTGAGAAAGATCTCTCCCATCCCCTGTCACCTAAGGCAGCTGCGTTGGGCTGAACCTGGGACCTTCTTCCTGCAGATCAAAAGGGCTACCCTCACTGAGTTTTCGTCACCTTCCCCGTTGCTTCCCCAGGCATCCCCACCCTCAATTCTGCAGCACCTGGGTAATGTGTGGCACACACAGAGCATTGCTGTCCTTCACAAAGTGGTCCAGGATGGCCTTCCAATTGCTGTCAATCCGGTCAAAGGAGGCTCACTCACTGGGCAGCTGCCTGCAAATGTCTTCTCCCAAGAAGGCATGAAACCCCTTGCAACGCAGGAATCTCAGCTAAAGCATCCATGACAGATGTCCATCTGAACTCTGCTTAAAAACCTCCAAGGAAAGAGAGCCCACAACCTCCCAAGGGAGACCGTTCCACTGTCGAACGGCTCTTACTGTTGAAATAAAAAATTAAGGTCTTCTATGTATAATAAATGTTCATAAATGTACCAACCAAGCACGTACATAGATATGGAGCAGCACAGGAGGACCGCCCTGAAACCATTTTGACTCCCCAACTGACCAAATGTTTTCTCTGCAAGGAGGGAGGGGGTGGGGGAGCCTTCCCATTGTCTCAGGAATTGGGTAATCACCATCTCAAAGGAATGGCCAGACTACCAGGAAAGGCAATCAGATAACCTGGCAGACAGGAAAAACAACAACATTCAAATTTCTGTTGTAGACTACCTAGGTATGATGTATGGAGGGGTGGTCTTGAGCTACAGGGTGGCAATTTCAAAAGTCTATATAAGAGCTTGCACACCAATGTTCTGGGTTCCTTCTCCCTCCTGCGGGGGGGGGGGGTGAGCACCCTGTTGCAACAGCTTAATAAAGATCAGGCTTACTAGCTGCTTTACTTCTCAATATTCTCTGGTTGGCCTCTGTTGTGTTCTCCTACTGATAGGGAACCTACATAAGGACTCTATACGGGCTCTTGGGTACCCCATAAGGGGAAAAAAGCAGTTTGTTTTCTTATAAAACTCTACAACATGTGGGTGGGTGGCGCTGTGGGTTAAACCAGAGCCTAGGACTTGCCGATCAGAAGATCGGTGGTTCGAATCCCCACCATGGGGGGAGCTCCCGTTGCTCGGTCCCTGCTCCTGCCAACCTAGCAGTTCAAAAGCACATCAAAAGTGCAAGTAGATAAATAGGTACGGCTCCAGCAGGAAGGTAAACGGCGTTTCCGTGCGCTGCTCTGGTTCGCCAGAAGCGGCTTAGTCCTGCTAGCCACATGACCCGGAAGCTGTACTCCGGCTCCCTCGGCCAATAAAGCGAGATGAGCGCCGCAACCCCAGAGTTGGTCACGACTGGACCTAATGGTCAGGGGTCCCTTTACCTTTACTTTATATATATATGGGGGTGCTTGCCTCGGTGGATGTCTCAGGCGGCCTGGCTATCTCTGATACTGTTTGACATTTCAAAAAAGCACTCAAAACTATGCCCTTCCCAGCCCACCTTCCCAAAGAACCCAGATAACTCACCTGGTTGCCCTCTGTAGCAGCGAAAGAGTGAGACTAACAAGGAAAACCACGCAGACAGTCAGCGCTAAGCTCTGCTTCCGAAGCCGTAAATTGAAGGACATGTTACAGAAAGACAGAGTCGAGACCAGAACTGTTTGTCGCCCGGGTTCATCTGGAGTCTGCTGCTTCGTTAGGTGTGCCCCGAACAGCTGCTGCCGAGGTAGGCATCAAAACGCATCAGGATGAGGAACAAGAAATGTGAGAAACACCTGAAGCAAATGCAAAGGCAATGAAAAGAATATAAGAACAGTCTTGTATTATATTCAGCATATACGTATCTAAAATAAGCTGCGTCGGTTACGATGTGTAAACAAAATTAAGCAAAAGGATAATATAAACCAGAAGACAGGCTGGTAGATAAATATCTGCTTAAACAGCTCAGTTAAAACGTTACTCACATTTGATTGGGCTCAATAAATCTCTTTCAGTAAGCAGCCCCACCTTTATCGTTCAGTCATCCTGCAAGTGTGGATTTGCCCTCAGGAAATATCACACATTTCAGAGTGCGCACAATGGTCACCACAACTTTTGTTGGCATAAGGAGTAGACAGTGTCAGATTTACATATGGGCTGAGTGGGCTGCAGCCCAGGGCCTCATAATTTAGAGGAGACTCAGCCTCTAGACAGCATCTTGAAAAGTAGAGACATCACCTTGCCAACAAAGGTCCGTATAGTAAATGCTATGGTTTTCCCAGTAGTGATGTATGGAAGTGAGAGCTGAACCATAAAGAAGGCTGATCACCGAAGAATTGATGCTTTTGAATTATGGTGCTGGAGGAGACTCTGGAGAGTCCCACGGACTGCAAGAAGATCATACCTATCCATTCTGAAGGAAATCAGCCCTGAGTGCTCACTGGAAGGACAGATCGTGAAGCTGCGGCTCCAATACTTTGGCCATCTCATGAGAAGAGAAGACTCCCTGGAAAAGACCCTGATGTTTGGAAAGATGGAGGGCACAAGGAGAAGGGGACGACAGAGGACGAGATGGTTGGATGGTGTTCTTGAAGCTACCATCATGACTTTGACCAAACTGCAGGAGGCAGTGGAAGACAGGAGTGCCTGGCATGCTCTGGTCCATGGGGTCACGAAGAGTCGGACACGACTAAACGACTAAACAACAACAACGGCCTCTTGTCATTAAAAAAACAAACAGGCAGATTTTACTATCTAGAATCATAGAACTGCAGAGCTGGATGGGTCCAAAGGGTCATCTAGTCCAACCCCATGCAATGCAGGAATCACAGCTAAAGACAGTCTAGGAAGCTGCCTTGAATCTCAAGCAGAGTCTCAAGCAAAGTGAGAAAGATCTCTCCCATCCCCTGTCACCTAAGGCAGCTGCGTTGGGCTGAACCTGGGACCTTCTTCCTGCAGATCAAAAGGGCTACCCTCACTGAGTTTTCGTCACCTTCCCCGTTGCTTCCCCAGGCATCCCCACCCTCAATTCTGCAGCACCTGGGTAATGTGTGGCACACACAGAGCATTGCTGTCCTTCACAAAGTGGTCCAGGATGGCCTTCCAATTGCTGTCAATCCGGTCAAAGGAGGCTCACTCACTGGGCAGCTGCCTGCAAATGTCTTCTCCCAAGAAGGCATGAAACCCCTTGCAACGCAGGAATCTCAGCTAAAGCATCCATGACAGATGTCCATCTGAACTCTGCTTAAAAACCTCCAAGGAAAGAGAGCCCACAACCTCCCAAGGGAGACCGTTCCACTGTCGAACGGCTCTTACTGTTGAAATAAAAAAATTAAGGTCTTCTATGTATAATAAATGTTCATAAATGTACCAACCAAGCACGTACATAGATATGGAGCAGCACAGGAGGACCGCCCTGAAACCATTTTGACTCCCCAACTGACCAAATGTTTTCTCTGCAAGGAGGGAGGGGGTGGGGGAGCCTTCCCATTGTCTCAGGAATTGGGTAATCACCATCTCAAAGGAATGGCCAGACTACCAGGAAAGGCAATCAGATAACCTGGCAGACAGGAAAAACAACAACATTCAAATTTCTGTTGTAGACTACCTAGGTATGATGTATGGAGGGGTGGTCTTGAGCTACAGGGTGGCAATTTCAAAAGTCTATATAAGAGCTTGCACACCAATGTTCTGGGTTCCTTCTCCCTCCTGCGGGGGGGGGGGGTGAGCACCCTGTTGCAACAGCTTAATAAAGATCAGGCTTACTAGCTGCTTTACTTCTCAATATTCTCTGGTTGGCCTCTGTTGTGTTCTCCTACTGATAGGGAACCTACATAAGGACTCTATACGGGCTCTTGGGTACCCCATAAGGGGAAAAAAGCAGTTTGTTTTCTTATAAAACTCTACAACATGTGGGTGGGTGGCGCTGTGGGTTAAACCAGAGCCTAGGACTTGCCGATCAGAAGATCGGTGGTTCGAATCCCCACCATGGGGGGAGCTCCCGTTGCTCGGTCCCTGCTCCTGCCAACCTAGCAGTTCAAAAGCACATCAAAAGTGCAAGTAGATAAATAGGTACGGCTCCAGCAGGAAGGTAAACGGCGTTTCCGTGCGCTGCTCTGGTTCGCCAGAAGCGGCTTAGTCCTGCTAGCCACATGACCCGGAAGCTGTACTCCGGCTCCCTCGGCCAATAAAGCGAGATGAGCGCCGCAACCCCAGAGTTGGTCACGACTGGACCTAATGGTCAGGGGTCCCTTTACCTTTACTTTATATATATATGGGGGTGCTTGCCTCGGTGGATGTCTCAGGCGGCCTGGCTATCTCTGATACTGTTTGACATTTCAAAAAAGCACTCAAAACTATGCCCTTCCCAGCCCACCTT